TCAAAAACACGGCAAAGCAAGGCAAGGAGAATGCAGAATTCGAAACATTGCTTGACTGGAACTAGTAGTCCATGTAATGGCGGATTTGTAGTTCGTTGCGATCTGCGTGTTTACCAGCGATCTGCATCTGCTCAAAAGCTGGTTATTATAACATAATAATATGTAGCCCCTGGTACATATTTCTGTTTTCCCAGAAATGTAGACCTTGGTATGTATCCTTACTGAGCCTGATGTTAGGTTTACATAGACACACCTGGTGTCCCTGTAATTCTAAACCAGTGGTCACCAAACTTGTTCCTGGAGGGCCGGTGTCCTGCAGATTTTAGCTCCAACCCAAATCTAACACACCTGAACAAGCTAATCAAGGTCTTACTAGGTGTACTTGAAAAATCCAGGCAGGTGTGTTGAGGTAAGTTGGAGCTAAATCCTGCAGGGACACCGGCCCTCCAGGACCAGGATTGGTGACCCTCAATCTAAACGGTTAAAGATCATACTTGACAGGGTCTTATCATATTCAAACTTTACCACAGGTTTTCTGTGAGGGTTGGGTTTAGGGGTAGGGCATATAATAAGGCTTTTTACAGTATAAAATGCATTTACCCCTATAGTGTCCCTGTAAACCATGTATCAGACATCACAAGTCCCCTGGAAGCACTGGGAGTCTCCCGCATATTCATAGTGGCCCCTGATGGGCCCTCTGCTAGCCCACAGCTGCTCTTAATCTTCGTTTGGATCTTAATCTTCGATAGAGACCCCCCAAACACCCCACCCATGGCTCTTTATCTTTGCATTTACGCAACCCCCCAGACTCTTTCGCTTTTTTTCCATGGTATAACTTCCCCGCCTACCAACTTATGGAACACACCTCACATTAGGCCCTCCCACAAACTAATTTGGCCAGGTTGAGATGTCTGATGTATACAAGTAAGTGTGTGTGTGTACATGTTTTTGTGACATATCAGGACACAAATCTGTATAATGCCATTGGAATGACTTAGGTATTACAAAAAGGTGGTGAATTATGAGGACATTACTGATGTTCTGATTTTTCAAAAAGCTTATAAATGTCAGAATGAGTTCATGCCAGAAAGTAAAACTCTACAGTTTCCTGTGAGGGTTGGGTTTAGGGGTAGGGTGGGGTTAGGGCAGTACAAAATACAGTTTGTACAGTATAAAAAACAATGAAAACCTATATAATGTCCCCACAATTCACAAAAACAAATGGGTGTATGTGATTTATACCTGTTTCATGCACTTGTGGACGGCAGGTGAGGTTGCAGCCACTTATGTCATTGCACGGTATGACGACGACACTGTAATTGGTGTTGCAAGCAAGGTCAGAAAGGGCACATTTGGGAGCCGTGTCGTTACACAAAACCGGCTGCACTGAATCTACAGCACGCGTCTCATATAGATCTGCACCGCGCACAGGGGACCACTCGATCATCAACGTCTCCCAAGAAACTGCAGACACCGTGGTGAGCTCTGGACAGCAAGGCACTGTAGATAGAGGGGTGGACAGGGAACAAAATGGTAAAGACTAAAAGAGCTCATAGACCACCAAGTAGAGGGGATTACGCCACAAGTAGGTTGAGTGACCTGGCAGCAAAGTTCATTGATTATTATGGCTGAATTATAGTAGTTCCTAGACAGATCAAAACATTTTCATTTTCCTAAGGCTAATAGTCTAATCTGATTCAATGATCTATGCTAAGCTAAAGTAAAAGCTCTCCCACCAGAGCTGGATATCGGCTGAATGGATTCAGAAATGGTGAAACTCAACTCTTTTACCCTTGAGGAAGCTGTAAACCCTGCTGAAAAATCCAGCTTAAACCAGCCTATGCTAGTTGGCTGGTTTTAGCTGGTCGACCAAGCTGGTTTTAGAGGGGTTTTGGCCACTTCCAGGCTGGTTTCCAGCCATTTCCAGCATGGTCTTAGCTGGTCAGGCTGGGAGATGACCAGCTAAAACCAGCTTGATCAGCCTAGCCAAGCTGGGAGTCCAGCCAAAACCAGCTATATCCAGCTTAAACCAAGCTGGTCAAGCTGCTTTTAGCCGGATTTGGCTGGTCATTTTCCAGCCTGACCAGCTAAGACCAGGCTGGAAATGGCTGGAAACCATCCTGGAAGTGGCCAAAACCCCTCTAAAACCAGGCTGGTCAACCAGCTAAAACCAGCCAACCAGCCTAGACTGGTTTAAGCTGGATTTTTCAGCAGGGAAATGCCTTTTGGCAACATGCCAGAGCTAACAAACATGGATAAACGCCCTATAATTTTAATAAGCATCACAAAAAAATAGCAGCTCATTGTTTTTGTATGTTAAGTGAAGTGGGATGTTCTGCAGGTCTCACAGGTGGTGTGGTTGAGGAGCGGTCCTGGAGGACTGGATCCAGCATGGTTGTGCGCAAACACAGTCATGATGTACGAGTAGCCGCAGTTGCAGTGGAACTGACAGAATGGATTGGTTGAGTTGCACGTCCCCTCGATGCCGTCGTCGCTCTTAATAAAGGTGGTGTAGTAGTCTGCATGAGGGACTGAGCTCCACTTCACAGAGCAGTTACCGGGCACTGCCTCCTCCACCCAAATGGGCTGCGGGGGACAAGGGACTAACAGACAACAGGTTAGGCAGAGACAGTTAATGTAGAACAACAGATTTCGTTATAATTCAGCAGCTTAATACTGTTGCTAACACATTTTTAGAAGCATTTTAAACCTATGGACAGATCTGGGGTCTGATTTATAACTATTTTATGTGTGAATCAGTTCACTCACATGAAATGATCTGCACTGGGTATGAGGGGATACTACTTCCAGCCTGGTTGACCGCAGTCACTGTGACAGATTTTGTCTCTCCGCAGATCAGAGGAATCAGGGTGCAGGAGTTCGTGGACGAAGAGCAGTTGTGTCCGGTCGAGCTCCAGGCCACATACTGCTCTGCACCCTGGGCAGAATCCCAGGACACAACTATACCAGCCTCAGGGGTGCTGGTCACCACTACAGCAACTGACTGAGGAGTTGGAGAACCTGAGGAAACATACAAACAGAGCAGATTAACAGCAGATGTTTATATGCACTACACTTTCTTAATGTTTTCTGGCTGCTTTGTTATACTTTCTCTATTAAACAGTGTCTTAACAAGATGCCAGCGACAAGCAATATTGCTGTCTGCACCAAAGACAACGCGACATGACAGAAACATTACAATACCAGCCACTGCACTTGCAGTAAATTGGCAAAGGCTTTTAATCTTAATCCTCACCCAATCATCACAGTTATTAATAAACCCTCTCAGTTTTTAACGTCTACACCTGCCCCAACCCTAAACCCAACTCTCAGTTATTAACGTCTACACCTACCCCAAACCTAAACCCAATTCTCAGTTATTAACGTCTACACCTGCCCCAACCCTAAACCCAACTCACAGTTATTAACGTCTACACCAACCCCAACCCTAAACCCAACTCTCAGTTATTAACGTCTACACCTGGCCCAACCCTAAACCCAACTCTCAGTTATTAACGTCTACACCAACCCCAACCCTAAACCCAACTCTCAGTTATTAACGTCTACACCAACCCCAACCCTAAACCCAACTCTCAGTTATTAACGTCTACACCAACCCCAACCCTAAACCCAACTCTCAGTTTTTAACGTCTACACCTGCCCCAACCCTAAACCCAACTCTCAGTTATTAACGTCTACACCTACCCCAAACCTAAACCCAACTCTCAGTTATTAACGTCTACACCTGCCCCAACCCTAAACCCAACTCACAGTTATTAACGTCTACACCAACCCCAACCCTAAACCCAACTCTCAGTTATTAACGTCTACACCTGGCCCAACCCTAAACCCAACTCTCAGTTATTAACGTCTACACCAACCCCAACCCTAAACCCAACTCTCAGTTATTAACGTCTACACCAACCCCAACCCTAAACCCAACTCTCAGTTATTAACGTCTACACCAACCCCAACCCTAAACCCAACTCTCAGTTATTAACGTCTACACCTGCCCCAACCCTAAACCCAACTCTCAGTTATTAACGTCTACACCAACCCCAACCCTAAACCCAACTCTCAGTTATTAACGTCTACACCAACCCCAACCCTAAACCCAACTCTCAGTTATTAACGTCTACACCAACCCCAACCCTAAACCCAACTCTCAGTTATTAACGTCTACACCTGCCCCAACCCTAAACCCAACTCTCAGTTATTAACGTCTACACCAACCCCAACCCTAAACCCAACTCTCAGTTATTAACGTCTACACCAACCCCAACCCTAAACCCAACTCTCAGTTATTAACGTCTACACCTACCCCAATTCTAAACCCAACTATTACAGTTATTAACAAATACACGTACCCTAACCCTAACCTCCACCATCATAGTTATTAACATCTACACCAACCCTAAGCCTAAACCCAATCCTCACAGTAGCATGTGTGTTACAACATCCATTACGTATTGGACCTAATACAGTACATCATTGAGATATCCGTTTAACTGTAATTTACTAGTATAAGGACAAAAAGCGGCTGCCTACTTAACTATGTGTTCTCTCTCTTACGTGTGATCTGGCAAATGGTGAAGTCGTCTCCGGCAATGTGTTCAGGACTCCAGGAATTCCCCTTAATGCAATAGCGAGTTCCTGCTTCTAGATCTGGAAAGAGAAGCTCTGTGCCGGTGGTGTTGATGCGACTGCGACTGTACGAGATGTCATTGATGATGCTGAGGCTGTAGAGCACAGTGTTGTTCACCGGATCCCACTTCACCAGGATGCTGCTGTTACTGGGAGAGCTGGGTTTGAGCTGCGGTGCAGGGAGGACTGGGGTTCACACAATGAAGAAGGAGAAAAGACCACAGTCAGAAATCAGACAGCTGTGACTCAAAACATTGTTTGTTCTAATGGTCTATATGGTGCCTTTTAATTTTGAATGAGCCAAGAAGCCAACAGACTTTCATCTCGTTTTACACTTGAACAACTAAATTAATGCTAAATTAAAACTCGATTTCATGGACTATATTTTAATTAAACGATTGATGCTATTAAAAGAAACTTTTTGAACTTGAAAATAGTCGTAATAACCTTTCACAGGAAGTTTATTGGCGGCTCAAAAACACTTGCAGTTTACAAAATCTATTCTGTGATCTGTTTGTTTCACATTTGTGCAACACAGGCTCATTGGAAATATGTGCTTGAGACTGTGAAACATACATTTGACTGTTTCTACACTTTCAGAAATAAAGGTACAGGAGCTGTCACTGGGGCAGTACCTTATCAAAATATACCTATTTAATCCACATTTGTACCTCAAAGAGGCATATTAGTACCCAAATGTACCTAAAAAGTACATTTGTGGTAACTTTATGAACCCTTCAGGTACAAATTTGTATCTTTTGAAAATGTACTGAACCAGTGACAGCTCCTGTACCTTTATTTCTGAGAGTGTAGGTAAAACGAACACTAGGGGCAGGGCCATAGTTAGAGGATTTAGGCATGTAAACAAGGTCAAGACGATCTGCTGCAATTCAAAGTGAGCATCAGAATGGTGAAGAAAGGGGATTTAAGGGACTTTAATCATGGCATGGTTGCTGCTGCCCGACGGGCTGGTCTGAGTATTTCAGAAACTGCTGATCTACTGGGATTTTCACGCACAACCATCTCTAGGGTTTACAGAGAATGTCCGACAAAGAGGAAATATCCAGTGAGTGGCAGTTCTGTGGGCGCAAATGCCTTGTTGAAGTCAGAGGAGAATGGCCAGACTGGTTCCAGCTGATAGAAAGGCAACAGTAACTCAAATAAGCACTCGTTACAACCGAGCTCTGCAGAAGAGCATCTCTGAACACACAACACGTCCAACCTTGAGGCGGATGGGCTACAGCAGCAGAAGAGCACACCGGGTGCCGCTCCTGTCAGCTAAGAACAGGAAACTGAGGCTACAATTCACACAGACTCACCAAAACTGGACAATAGAAGATTGGAGAAACGTTGCCTGACAGTCTGAAGAGCTGTCATGTCAATATGGAGCAAAATCTCTGAGGAATATTTCCAGTCGCTTGTTGAATCTCTGCCACTAAGGATTAAGGCAGTTCTGAAGGCAAAAGGGGGTCTCTGTTTGTAAACACACTGTGGTCATTTATATCTATTTTACATTTTTAGCCGGAATTTTGTACAGGACAGAATCAACGAGTGCTCTTTTTATTCTGCTCTATAAATGAATTCCTATATGTCTGCATTTTTTTTAGAAACTGGATTACATTTCCAAAAAAAAAAAAAAAAAAAAGATGGCATGGGTTATAATCTTACCGCTTTCCTGTGTGTCCAAACTTAGCGGTTCTCAAATTTCTTAATCTGTTTTGAGTAAATTGTGCTGCTGGCCCTTTGTGCTATTAAGATGGATCATATTCATGATGTAATCCTGCAAGCAATATATATATATATATATATATATTCTCTGTGAAGATCAAGGCTGCTACACTTATTTCAAGTTCGACTATCTCAGGTGAAAAAATGCACTACCCAAACAATAACACACAGGTCTCAGAGGTTAACACACTGAACACTTTTTTTGTGGCCTGTCCCTTGAGGAGGGCAGTCCTGTGTTTCGGCTATAGCCCAGCTGCTCATATTTCACCTACAGGGCAATCAGGGTATTGTTACATGCGTGAGAAACTGATTTCTTTGAATATGAACACAACCTATACATATACTGCACCATCAGGCCCATGAGATCTGCTATTTAGCTTAACCATTTTGTTGTCCTCAAATCCTGTATTCACCATTTGTCCTTCAATTCAAAAACGGCCTTCACTAAACCATCTTCAGTGAATCAATCCTTGAAAAAACAACTGTATCTTCATCACAAACTCTGTGAATAACTTGGTTTTCCCTCATTAATGTGCAGTATTTCATCAGTGTTTAATAAGTAAATTAAATAAAGGATGTATTTTCTAATGCTTAAAGCACCTGCATAATTGTAAAACATTTAATAACTTTACTTAAAGGGGTGTTCATGAAACCGTCATGAAGCCTTTATAATCTTGACGTGACACCAGGGCTTAATTTGAGCCGGAGCAAGCCGGATCTGGATCCGGCACCTCTGAAATCTGATCCGGCACCTCATTTATTTTACCGATTCCCCTCCTCACATGCACTCTTCACTTTCTTCCACTACTCCCCAACCCACTTCATCCGCAACAACCCACCCACCCGCTTCACTTTCCACTTTCGTCCGCGACACAATCCCCCCCTCCTTGTATATATATTTTATATTTTTCGCAAGAAAGTATTTATAAAAGTTAAAGCAGCAGATTCTTACTGTGAGTGTGTGTTGTGTGTGCCGGTTTTATAGCTAAAAAATTGACCCTAATGACAATCGTAGTACCCTAAATGTGTACAGCATTCAAGAAAGTATTAAAGTTCCTGTTAAGTGCTTTGAAATGTGCATTTTAATTTGATTTTGTGACATCATCTCAACTGAAGCGTGAAGAGAGGGCAGGACTCAGAGCAGCTCCTCCCCTTTTAAAAAAACAGCCAGTAGCGTTTTGTTTTATCACAGCTCCTCAGCGAGAGTGGCTGAGCTCAAGCAAATCAAATGAACAGCCAATGAGAAGAAGTGGGCGGGGCATGTCAGACACAAGAGAACATCTGAATGGTCAGAAGAATTGGTTAGAAACTGAAGTATGAGGTGACGTTAATAGAATAGCCATACCTGTCAACCCTCCCCTTTTTCTCGGGATTCTCCTGTATTTTACAGTTCTATCCCGCTATCATCCTGAAAGGTATTTTCAGTGTTTCTCTGAAGGGTGGCAAGAAACATTAAAAAGTCGAGCCTCCCTAAAGCAACCCATACCACCGAACCACTAGGGGCCGCCCCTTACTTCTAAATGTGAGTATGTTCTGTGTGATTTCACTTTGTTTAGGCACAAAAACACTGAAATAAATATAAAAACGGCGCGATTCCCTTTCCTTTTCATTACAGGTGCCGTCACCTCTCCTATGCAATCCTCAAAACAGTCATATATCAGTGCGTGACTGTCAGCTGACGCGCTCCATAGTGATAAATAGACCCTGTTTCCCAATTGGAAAAGTGGCTTTTGGGTGCATGTTTAAACAGACATATACACATAAATAATAATAATAATATCTAAAGATGTCGATGTTGTTGTTTTTTTTTAAATACAACTAATTTCATCGTAAATGAGCATAAAAAGCAGTCGAATGCCTTCATTATATTGTTAGATTTGTGCATTTTAAAGTGGCACCTGTTATTTAATGTAATCAAAAGGAAAAAAACTAAATAAATGAGAGATTTATCCGTTGCTTTTTAATCAGAATGTGTACAATATACAGTGAAGAAACGGCTAAGGAGATTCTATTTCATTATAATAGCTATTAAATTTAATAAGCTGAACTGTTGCTAAGGTATTTGCTGCTAATGTATTTATTTATTTTTGCTTTTGTATATAATAATAATAATAAAAAAACATATTACTGACCATTTAACTGTTTATTTAAGGCATGTCCCTAATTATGGTGGGCATTATTTTCACATCCCAATGTTGACAGGTATGAATAGCTGGCCGATTTAGGTGGAAGTGACAAACTACAAGCTTTGGATGTTTATAAATCTTCTGAAGGTGACTTTTGACACTGTTTTGGAGGAGCACACTAGCTTATAGACATCCTTAAAACTAACAGACTGGAAACTAACATTTAAAACAGTGGTCACCAAACTTGTTCCTGGAGGGCCGGTGTCTTGCAGATTTTAGCTCCAACCCTAATTAAACACACCTGAACAAGCTAATCAAGGTCTTCCCAGGTATACTTGAAAGATTCAGGCAGGTGTGTTGAGGCAAGTTGAAGCTAAACCCTGCAGGGACAACGGCCCTCCAGGACCGAGATTGGTGACCCCTGATTTAAAAGTTTTTATTTTAATTTCATGGGACCTTTAAAATAGAAAATAATTCATTTGTAGTTATCTCAGGGGCTCATTTTAGGGAAAAAAAGCCACTAAAGATTAAGTTTCGTCCTATTTATATGGTCATTTTTGATCCGTAAGTCTACAAAAGCTTTGTCCTGATTATTTTTCTCAATGGGAGGATACTGTAAGTTTTTTGCCCAGGCCTATTTTAAAGCTTAATCCTGCCAACTGATGACCAACAGATAAAAATGACATATTTTACCTCCTCCCAACAGGGAAAACCACTAAAATGCATGATTATATAGTGTCAAGGCTTTCCATTCAAAATGTGTTTATAATGGAAGTCAATGGGGCAATAACAGCGTGAACATAACGAAAGGGTAGTCCATTTGAACAAGGGTTAAAGGGCATTGTTTAGGATTTTCTGTTGTTAAAATGCTCATTTTTGACCCGCAAGCTTTATCCAGATTATTTTTCTCAATGGGAGGATAAGATTACAGCACTGGGGGGGAGAATAGCCAACTCTGTCCCTTCATGAATGGATCATTTCTTCGTCCTCCAGGTCAAAAAGGCGGATGCGGAGGGGAGAGAAGGGAAGAATATACCTGTCTTAGCCTCCACGGAGATGGATGGCTGGCTCCGGCCTGCGCTGTTGACGGACATGACGCTGAGACTGTAGAGTGTGTATGGCTGCAGGCCGGTGACGGTCCCCGGAGAGCTGGAAACTTGGATCTCTGTGAAGAAAGAGCCGTCGCTGGTCTCTGCGCGCAGGATGTATGAAGTGGCTCCGCTGACCTCAGTGAACTCCACTGTGATACTGGGACTCTCTTTGGAGGAGGCCATCAGGATGGACGGCACATCCGGAGCTGCACAGCACAGCACAAACCATACAGTACACTGCAGTTAAAGTACACATGAAACTAACCGTATTGATGTTATTAGCTCACATTGCTAGATGTGTGGTGAACAGTTCATCTGTGCATGTCGTTAAGAAAACTGAAGAGTTTGCTCTTGTCATGCAAAATTAAAATCTGAAACTGCACTTCCTGTGTGTTTTCAGTTGAATTCTCAGATTCGGTTTGTCTGAGGTATTGGGCGGGGCTAACATACTTAACCACACCCCTCCAGCTGTCAGTTTAGACAACAAACAGAAATGGTGAGCAGAAGGAGGAGTCTGTTAGGTTGTAATAACTCTCCCCAAACCCTTTACCTCATCTCTCTGAATGTAATGCCTACTTTACTATTTACTATTTACCAATCAGCTTGCAGTACAAAATAACAAGCCACACCCACTGTTTGCTCATTTAATATTCCATTTCATTAGGAACTGTGTCACAATACGCAAAAATAAATAAATAAAAATAAATAAATAAATAAATAAATAAATAAATAGATAAATAGATAAATAGATAAATAAATAAAACTTTAAGGGGTTTTGTTGCTAGAAGGGATACAGCTGTGGCTGAAAGTTAACAAGAATTATTTATATTGTTTATCAAATTACCCATTAATTGTCTCTTATTAACATATAGCCCTACACCAACCCTCATAGTAATGTAAATACAGTAATTATACAGAGTTTTATTCATATTATTAATTCAATTAAATATCAAATTGTATATTGTTAAGGTCTACCCCCACCCCAACCCTAAACTCAACCTTCACAGTTTTGTAATGACATGATTACTGTACAGTACATTTTTGTTGTAATAATTTAAATAGTTCTTGTTAACTTCTGGTTAATGTATCCCTTTTGACTTATCTCCTTAAATGAAACAGACTTAAAATGTATTTTAAGTCAAGTCAACTAATCGCTTTAAAAGCAACAGGTTTACTCACTTATTTTAAGTAAAGTTAATTAATCGCTTTAAAAGCCACAGGTTTACTCACTTATTTTAAGTAAAGTCAACTAATCGCTTTAAAAGCAACAGGTTTACTCACTTATTTTAAGTAAAGTCAACTAGTCGCCTTAAAAAGCAACAGGTTTACTCACTTATTTTAAGTAAAGTCAACTAGTCGCTTTAAAAAGCAACAGGTTTACTCACTTATTTTAAGTAAAGTTAATTAATCGCTTTAAAAGCCACAGGTTTACTCACTTATTTAAAGTAAAGTCAACTAACCGCTTTAAAAAGCAACAGGTTTACTCACTTATTTTAAGTTAAGTCAATTAATCACTTTAAAAGCAACAGGTTTACTCACTTATTTAAAGTAAAGTCAACTAATCGCTTTAAAAAGCAACAGGTTTACTCACTTATTTTAAGTTAAGTCAACTAATCGCTTTAAAAGCAACAGGTTTACTCACTTATTTTAAGTTAAGTCAACTAATCGCTTTAAAAGCAACAGGTTTACTCACTTATTTAAAGTAAAGTCAACTAGTCGCTTTAAAAAGCAACAGGTTTACTCACTTATTTTAAGTAAAGTCAATTAATCGATTTAAAAGCAACAGGTTTACTCACTTATTTTAAGTTAAGTCAATTAATCGCTTTAAAAGCAACAGGTTTACTCACTTATTTTAAGTTAAGTCAACTAACCGCTTTAAAAGCAACAGGTTTACTCACTTATTTAAAGTAAAGTCAACTAATCGCTTTAAAAGCAACAGGTTTACTCACTTATTTAAAGTAAAGTCAACTAATCGCTTTAAAAAGCAACAGGTTTACTCACTTATTTTAAGTTAAGTCAACTAATCGCTTTAAAAGCAACAGGTTTACTCACTTATTTTAAGTTAAGTCAACTAATCGCTTTAAAAGCAACAGGTTTACTCACTTATTTTAAGTTAAGTCAATTAATCGCTTTAAAAGCAACAGGTTTACTCACTTATTTTAAGTTAAGTCAACTAACCGCTTTAAAAGCAGCAGATTTACTCACTTATTTTAAGTAAAGTCAACTAATCGCTTTAAAAGCAACAGGTTTACTCACTTATTTTAAGTTAAGTCAACTAACCGCTTTAAAAGCAACAGGTTTACTCACTTATTTTAAGTAAAGTCAACTAATCGCTTTAAACGCAACAGATTTACCCACTTATTTTAAGTAAAGTCAACTAATCGCTTTAAAAGCAACAGGTTTACTCACTTATTTAAAGTAAAGTCAACTAATCGCTTTAAAAGCAACAGGTTTACTCACTTATTTTAAGTCAAGTCAGCTATTTGTACAGTGTATGGTATCGTCAGTTTTTAATATACGCACCTGTAGATCCATCCACATTAGCGTCTGCCAGTCCGTTCATGAGGCTATCCAGTGCCTCCACACGAAAGGTGTAAGCCGTGTTGGGGTTCAGGGAGTTAACAGATCCCAGAACAGTGTTTTGTCCAAAACTAGCAAAGACCAGAGGCACTGGAGAGTTGCGTAGAGAAGCTGTAACTCTGTAGGACAGCGCACCATCATATCTGCTCCAGCGCAGCACTGCACTCTTTGACGTCACCGTAAACACATTCACAGTCATCAAGCTGCCTGAAAAACAAAAGAAAACGAAAGAGGTTTTAACAAATCTCAGCTTAAAAACGACATTTTTTAATGAGTGTGGATTTCGATTTGAACAGATACTGTTTTTTGCTCCAGATCAGCCGTACCTGATGCCTGAAAAAAGAAAAATACACAAAGACAGTTATTAGACTCTAAACATTTCAATAATTAAACTTGAACATTTATATATAAATATTTTAATTAAATTAGCATTTGATATCTGTTTTAGTCATTCAAAAAAAAAAAAGGAAATAGTTAAAAATGAACCCTCTATAGAGCACTCACTGAAATAATCACTGGAAAACCCGGGAGTGCCACTGGGGGTTATTACAGGACTTTTAAAGTTTTATGACTTAAAAAAAAAAAAAAAAAAAAAAATATATATATATATATATATATATATATATATATATATATATATATATATATATATATATATATATATATATATATATATATATATATATATTTCTTGTTTAATGGAGACAATATTTTTTCAACACATTTTAAACATAATAGTTTTAGTAACTCATTTCTAATATCTATTTTTTTTTTTTTTCTGTCTTTGCATTGATGACAGTTCATCATATTTTACTAGCTATTTTGCTGGACACTAGTATTTTAGCTTACAGTGCAATTTAAAGGCTAATCTAGGCCAATTAGGCAAGATAGGTTAATTAGCCAAGTCATAATGGCCCAAAAATTAGTACACCGAAATTTAATAAATACAAATTTTAAAAAGAGGAAAAATTAAAAGAAGCAAAAAAAATGCTCGATTTTATTGAAATTTTGTAGGTTGTAATTTTATTTTGCAATATGTTGCTTAAATTAAATTGTATTTAAATTTCTAAATATGTATGGTGACAAAAATATTATTTTAACAAATATATCTGTTTTAAAATTTTGTTTTGTTCAAATGCACCAAAATACATTGCCTTTATTCACTGAGAAATGAAGAAAAGTATTTATTTTCAAAATAGGATGTATTATTCAGTTATGCTGAGCACTGTATATAAATAAATAAATATATATATATATATATATATATATATATATATAAATACATACAAATTCTTTCCCAAGTGTTTAATAGACAGTACTTGGGTATTACATTTTTAAACACAATAATTTTAGTACATAATTTATAATTACTAATGTATTTTGTCTTTGCCATAATAACAGCACATACTATTTTACATAATATAGTAATTGGCAAGCCAATGGAAAACAGTGGTGTGTTTCTTAAGCCAATGGAAAACAAAAATCTTAAAGGGGAGTAATAATATTGACCTTAAAAATAACTTTAACATTTTAAAAATGCTTTTATTCCAGCCAAACTAAAAGAAAATAAGACTTTTAACAGCCTTCAATATCTGCTTTATTCATAAAATAGGAACCCTTTATTAAGCATTATACAGAAATTATATATAAATTATTTCTCAAGTGCTGTGTAATGGAGAGAATACCTTTCATTACATTTTTAAACGCAATAGCTGTAATAAATAATTTATAATGACTACTTTCTTTTGTCTTTGCCATAATGACAGCACATGCTATTTTACAGGATACAGTGCTTTTTAAAGGCTTAGGTTCATTTAATTAGGCAAGTCATTGGACAACAGTGACATGTTTCTTTAGCCAATCGGAAAAAAATAATGTTACAGTATGCTAATAATACTGACCTTAAAATAGCTTCAAAAAATTAAAACTGCTTTTATGCCAGTCAAACTAAAAGAAATAAAACCTTCTCCAAGAAGAAGAAAATATGTTGTAGGAAATACTGTGAAACAATTCACTATTTGCCTTGTCACATCACTTGAGAAATATTTAAAGATGATTCAAAATGGAGGGCTAACAATAGTGCTATAATCTACATATAATGATATATATATTTCCCTAAAATGCTGCATGTTATTGTCCAGTTAATACGTTACCTAAATAAAGAGAGACACAAAGAAAAGTGAATTAATATATTGTAACTCGTCTTCTTTACCTGTGAGACTACTCCAAGCAAAAACACCAGCTCCTTAATGCCTCCAAGGCCTGCCATCTGTTTAAAATCCTAATTTTCCTCTTATTTTCCCTGTTGTTTTATTCTGAGCTCTGCACTCTCTTCTGTTCTTCTGTTTTGACTGAATATACATGAAGCTTGAATGCGTCTCAGACCTGTTCACCTAGCCCAGCCCTCCCAGGAGAGTCAACTAATAGGAGCTAGAGATGAGATCCAGTTGATCAATCAGAAGTGGAGATGAGATCCAATTGGCCAATCAGAAGTGGAGATGAGAAATTCTTGGAAACAGGTGTAACAGAACTGCTGTAGCTATAGTTCAGTAAAAGCATTGCATTATGGACACATTTTGCAGTTAGTTTAATACCAAATGAGGTACTAAATTATGTGTACTACATGATTTTGTACATTTATATCGTGCACTATGTATACCAAATACTTCTTGAACAGACACTTTTTAGGTTTAGCGGACGCAGCCATTTGTAGAAGGGATACAGCTGTGGCCGGAGGTTAAAGATAATTATTTATTGTTATTTAATATTTTAAACAAAAATTGTATTTTGGTAACATCCACCCCTATCGAAAGTATAAACCAAACTCTGACACTGATGTGAAAACAATAATTATATCGAGTACTAATTAATTAATAATTAAAATTATCAAATTTGATAGCATTTTATTTTTGCCTTCCCCTACCGCATCACGAAACTTCACAGTAACATAAAAATAATACAATAAAAAAATATAATAATTAATAAATTGTTGTAGGATACAGTGTCACATATTATTATGACGTGCGTGTCCAAGGCTGTATCCCCTCTAAATATTTTAATTTGTGTGTGTGTGAACTATCCCTATGATTGCCGGTTGACAAGTGGGAAATGAATAACATGGATATAATAAAAAATAACCATAAATAGGCCAAATATATGAAACAAAACGCTTTAAAAACCCAGTAGTCCTATTTAAAAATACATTTTGATAAACTGCAAGATTTAACAACGACAAACAAAAATCACTGATATCCCATGACTTATATATATTCCTAATGTCTGAAATACCGCTTTTAAAATTCCATGATGTTTCAGAAATTCATGACCCGTGGGAAAAAGCCTGTAAAAAAATCTCCACTGAAATGAATTGTCCATTCGTGAACGCGCGCGCGCGCTCACTCACTCACTCCTCCCTGAAACAGGAGCGCGCTTTTGCCTGGACAAACTTCAAGATGGCAACTGGAGCAGACCACGGCTTGAAAAAAATAGTATGGCAAAGTAAGTTCATAGAGCTGACATCTGTTTTCTGCAAACCTGTTGCGTGCACGGCCTCGTGCTTCAACACTTACACGAGTTCGGCTCAGAGAAAGAGCTGTCAGAAGTTTAAAGAGACACACAGTGTTTACTGGGTTTGCCCAGAGGAGATAAAGTCGTTTCAAAAGTTGTTTATGCGTTTGTTTTTTCGTGTTTATTAACGACACAGTGCCGTATTGACTGTTTGGCGTGAATCGTTGTCATGTTTGTTCTGGTTAAATGTCTCATGTGTCATTGAGTCACTGTTTCCGATTACGTTAGCTGCTCTGCTAATGTTAGCCTACCCGTTTCAGTTTCTCTTTTTAATTTTGGAAGCAGATTTATTTATGTCGTCGTTACTTTTGTTGACGTAATTGTTTGGCTGTCTGATGATGATGTCATAAAGGCACATCAGTCCTCCCGCGCTACTTTCTGTGAACTTTTATCAGTGACTTCCGGTCTGCTGTGTTGTGACAGTAAAGTTATAATAACATAATTATATAAAAGTTACCAATAACACGAAACAAGAGGCTTTCCAAAATTCACAAACTTATGTTTGTGTTTTATTTTGCTAACTAAACCTCTTTATAGAGGTAACGTTGGTTTTATATTTGGGTGTTCAGACATTCCCCTTGATATAATTAATAATATTAATGATATAATTTCAGAAAGTATTCTTTGGAAATTCTAAATAGGCAAATTATATTAGCAGTAAATGGCTATCAAAGTATGGGCAAGGCAGTGGCGCAGTAGGTAGTGCTGTCGCCTCACAACAAGAAGGTCGCTGGTTCGAACCTTGGCTCAGTTGGCGTTTCTGTGTGGAGTTTGCATGTTCTCCCTGCGTTTGCGTGGGTTTCCTCCGGTTTCCCCCACAGTCCGAACACATGCGGTACAGGTGAATTGGGTAGGCTAAATTGTCCGTAGTGTGTGTGTGAATGTGTGTGTGGATGTTTCCCAGAGATGGGTTGCAGCTGGAAGGGCATCTGCTGCGTAAAAACTTGCTGGATAAGTTGGCGGTTCATTCCGCTGTGGCAAAAAGGGACTAAAAAAGGGACTAAGTCGACAGGAAAATGAATGAATGAATGAATGAATATCAAAGTACAGCATTGTTCACAGTCAATTAGATAGTGTTAATGCTGTTTAAGTCATACTTGCATGCTTATTCAGATAGAATATTCATAGTAACATGGTAAACAATATAGACTACTATGATTAGATTACTATGATTACTACTATAATTACAATATAGACTACAATGATTTGTCTGATTGTAAACGCAATCTGTTAATAACCTAGGCATAACATTAAACCAGAACTTAAAATTTGATAAACAGATCTCAAAAGTGGTGGGAAATAGTTTCTTCGTTCAAAAATGAAATCCTCTCTTCCTTCACACTCTCTAGAAATTCCCATACACGCGCTTATAACCTTCAGGTTGGACAATTGCAACTCTCTGTATTTTGGGCTGCCTAAGTCTCACATTGCTCGCCTACAGTTAGTGCAAATTGCTGCAGCTAAATTCTTAACATAAAGCCCAAAACATGCACAAATCACTCCTATTCTAAGGTCTCTACACTGGCTACCGGTGACACAAAGAATCGAAGTTAAAATCTTTCTCTTTGTGTATAAAGCCCAACATGGTCCAGGCCATCATTATTTATCCCGACTGATTGTTAATTACACTCCTCCATGACACTTGCATTCCGCTGATCATTTTTATTAAAGTTCCTCCTCAAAAGTAGGGGCGAACGTGCTTTTGGCATAGCAGGTCCGTGCCTCTTGAACGCCCTGCCATTAGAACTAAAAAAAGGCTTCATGGCTGCCTATTTTTAAGTCTAAATTAAAGACGCATTTATTTTCTAGGCATTTTGAAGCATAAGTCCTTCCCTTCATGTTCTCAATCGTGTTTAGTGTTGGTCAACTGTATAAGCATCTTTTAACTAGGAAAAAAATAGTTTTATTATTTTCTATTTTATTTTATTTTGCTCTTTTATTGATATACTCTCTATGTTCTTGCCTGTTATGTGCCTATTGCTGTTTGTACTGTTTTTATGCTCATACCATGTGTTTATTTTCTCTCCGTAAAGCACTTTGTGCAGCCGTGTGGCAGTTGGAAACGTGCTATATAAATAAATTGAACTTGAACTATTCAATAAACAAATGTGCAAATATTAAACCCACTTTACCTCAGACCCATCTTTGTGTATTTTGGTAAATTTGGTTTATATTCACACATTCAGGCTTTTACCTTAATATAATTTCAGAAAGTATTCTTTGCTAATTCTAAATAGGGAAACCATATTAGCAGATGACTATCATAGTACTACATTGTTGACTCAAATAAATAGTGCTAATGTTGTTTTTAAGTCGTACTTGCATGCGATTTCTGCCAACTATTTAAAGTTGTGTGGTAAACAATATAGTAACCATGTCAGAAGTTGTGCTCTTTACAGTATGTCATTGTAATTAATCTGTTTTCGCCTTTTTAAATTCTGCTTTACTATTTTATTGAAAGCCAAAGTATTAATGTGCGAATATAAAACCGATTTTACCTAGTTATTTGCCTAAATCCACTTCCAAGGATCAGACAGTTGATTAAACTAATTAAAGCTATTATACAAGTTATTTTGTGTGGACAACTGTGTCCACTTGTTTGTCATTCATTCATTCATTTTCCTTCAGCTTAGTCTCTTATTTATCAGGGGTCATTACAGCAGAATGAACTGCCAACTATTCCAGCATACACACATTCACTATGGTCAATATGCTGTATCTGTCACGTAATGCACATTTTTAAACAGAATATCTGACTCCAGCATCGTTTCGCAGATAAACATTTATGTTCACTGAGCATGTTTCTGAAATATCTGCAAACATATTATTTTTATGCTTTAGAAGACTTTTTTCCTTTAAGCCTGCATGTATTTGCAGAACAAGTTTGAAACAGGAACTAAATCTGGAAATTTTTCGTTATGATTTATACTTTCAGTTCCTTCAGAAACGCTGATCCTGTAAATAATATATTCCTTCATGTGTCTTCACAGGGATCAGGGACACCATCATTGCAGACTGCAAAAAGTGGAACGTAAGTTTGAAAGGTTTCTGAGGTTTTCTCTTTATATTTATTCCAGTAGTTTGTCCATTCGGGGCCCTCCATGCCAATCTGTGCTTAACAGACTTTCTAACAGACTTTCTCATACAGTGAGTACCCTCTATTGTATAGTAAACACAAAGACTGGCTGACCTGATTAACATCAGAGAAGGGCACCTGCAGGAATAAGCAAAACAATAGTATTTCATGAAACATCTTAAAGACAGTTCACCCAAATTACAAGATTTGCAGATAATTTAATTCAAGAAACACAATGTTTATGAAAAGTGGACGGGGAGAACCGCAATGTTTATGAAAAGTGGGCGGGGAGAACCGCAATGTTTATGAAAAGTGGGCGGGGGGAGAACCACAATGTTTATGAAAAGTGGGCGGGGGAGAACCGCAATGTTTATGAAAAGTGGGTGGGGAGAACCCCAATGTTTATGAAATGTGGGCAGGGAGAACCGCAATGTTTATGAAAAGTGGGCGGGGGGAGAACCCCAATGTTTATGAAAATTGGGCGGGGGGAGAACCACAATGTTTATGAAAAGTGGGCGGGGAGAACCGCAATGTTTATGAAAAGTGGGTGGGGAGAACCCCAATGTTTATGAAAAGTGGGCGGGGGGAGAACCACAATGTTTATGAAAAGTGGGCGGGGAGAACCGCAATGTTTATGAAAAGTGGGCGGGGAGAACCACAATGTTTATGAAAAGTGGGTGGGGAGAACCCCAATGTTTATGAAAAGTGGGCGGGGAGAACCGCACTGTTTATGAATAATGGGTGGGGGAAGAACCATGATGTTTATAAAATTTGGGCGGGGAGAACCCCAATGTTTATGAAATGTGGGCAGGGAGAACTGCAATGTTTATGAAAAGTGGGCGGGGGAGAACCCCAATGTTTATGAAAAGTGGGCAGGGATAACCGCAATGTTTATGAAAAGTGGGCGGGGAGAACCCCAATGTTTATGAAAAGTGGGCGAGGAGAACCCCAATGTTTATGAAAAGTGGGTGGGGGGGAGAACCGCAATATTTATAAAAAGTGGGCGGGGAGAACCGCAATGTTTATGAAAAGTGGGCGGGGAGAACCGCAATGTTTATGAAAAGTGAGCAGGGAGAAGCGCAATGTTTATGAAAAGTGGGCGGGGAGAACCCCAATGTTTATGAAAAGTGGGTGGGGAGAACCGCAATGTTTATGAAATGTTGGTGGGGGTAGAACCGTGATGTTTATGAAAAGTGGGCGGGAGAAGGACAATGTTTATGAAAAGTGGGCGGGAGAAGGACAATGTTTATGAAAAGTGGGCGGGAGAAGGGCAATGTTTATGAAAAGTGGGCGGGAGAAGGGCAATGTTTATGAAAAGTGGGCGGGAGAAGGGCAATGTTTATGAAAAGTGGGCGGGAGAAGGGCAATGTTTATGAAAAGTGGGCGGGAGAAGGGCAATGTTTATGAAAAGTGGGCAGGGAAGAAGCATAATGTTTATGAAATGTGGACAGGTAAGAACCGCAATGTTTATGAAAAGTGGGTGGTCGAGATCCATGATGGGGAGGAAACGGCAGGTGGCAAGCCAGATTGATCGTCAGGCTACCGGGAAACGTAGGCAAAACAAATTTATTACCAGCTGAAGGTATTCGTGATAGTGAACATTTCAGCTAGGGATACACCGATCCCAATACTTGGATCGGATATCGGTTGGATACGGCATATTTTTGCTGGATTGGGTATCGGCCAGCTGGTACTGATCCATATATGATCTTCCGCATGCGCTTAATTCTGTGTACTTTATAAGCAAACAAAAGCCACGAAAGTAGCGTATTATAAGGCACTAGAAAGTTATCATGTAGGCTAGAGCTGCACGATTCTGGCTAAAATGAGAATCGTGATTCGTGATCTCGATTTTCTCACGATTCTGTAGATGTAAAATAAAGGTATGGTAAAAACAAACTTATGGCACAACATCGATAATAATATGCGTAGCTCTACTGGTTTCTATAAATAATTCTATTCTACTTATAATAATTCTGATGTTGAATTATTATGTTTGAGATATATGCTTGCAATCTGTCATATTAGACAGTTTTATTCACTGGTAAAATCAGACATTTTTCATCATGGTTATTATAAATGTAACCCTGATTACTGCTGAACTCCCAGAAACCATATTATTTCATTTGTATGTTCTCTCCACTCCCAGATCCTCATACTAGACGATTTCACCACACGCCTACTGTCCTCGTGCTGCAAGATGTCTGATCTCATGTCCGAGGGCATCTCAGGTGAGTGAGCAGGAGGTTTTGTTCCAGATTCTGCTCAACATCCTGTGTGTTTGATGAAGCTGTTGATCCAGTGTTTGAACCTCATTGTGTGTTGAGTGTCGGACGCTCTTCCTTCCTGTGTTTTCCAGAAGGGAAGCTTCCCTGTTTCCAGTGGTGTAAAGTAACAAATACTCGGATTACTGTAATTGAGTAGTTTTCCTCAGGAATTGTGCTTTACCAATGACTGTAAAAAATATGGATGACGCGACAGCCCCTTTTCCCATTGAACGCCTTAAGGGCAAAACGTCTGCTTGACGGGCACAAACTGTCGCAAAAGACTGCTGAAATTGGAGCCTTGACATGCGCAGAAGGACTGTTTGATGGAGCCAGAGGAGGAGCCGCGAAAATGAGCAGAGTCGAGCTTCCAACCAAACGCTTTATGTAAAATCAACCACGCCCCCCGAACTTCTCAGCATGCGTTTGCTGTCGTATCAACACATGATGTAATAACCATGAAGTCGGACTTCATGCTCATCGGACTGCTCATCAAGTATCTCCCGCTGGATCTAATCTCACTATATTTATTAAACGTGATATTTCTTTTATCTTGTTGTCTTTATCTAACGGCATATTACCCGACTTTGGGCATTGGAATCTATTACTTGTTCTCAGGTAACGTGTTTTGGCTGAGCGCAAAGATAGGTTAATAATTAATGGAACCATATACATTCTGTATGTTGACTGATCGCTTGCCTTTATTTCCTATTATGTATAAATTTATTGTATGTATTAATTTTATAATGGCCATTATCGATTATTAAAACTGATATTCAGCAGAAGAGAGGGTGTGTTTCGTATTTTCACTGAAATTGAAAGGAGGCAGTTGTTATCGGCTCCGTTTTGTTATAAATATCCACACAGTGAAGATGACGCTCATATATGCAGCACGACGCCTCAACATTCTGCTGTCTGTTAAGTTGCTAATATCAAAATGAAAATAGGCAGTTCCATCATGTTTTCATTTTATTGTTGAGAAAGTGAAACAACGTTGTCAGGACGATGCTAATGAAGTTATAAAGTACACTGTTCCCTTTGAAGATTTGTCCTCGGTAGTCTGTTTTCCAAATCAAACTGAGGAGGGGGAGACTGCAGCCTTGATCAAACTTGCGAAGTCTGAACTTACAAGAAGAGGATGCGAGACTGAACTGTGTGTGTTAGGCTACTTAATAATGAGGAAAAAGCCCCAATCAGAGAGGCGAATGTCTGCAGCCCCGCCTCCGTTTTCTAATGTCTCCGTTTTCCATCATCCACACTGAGACGGAGCAGCAGCGTTTAGAAAGAAAACAGCCTCTTCAGCGTTTCCAAAACGCTCCATTTTGGGCGCTCGAAAACTCTGCCATAGTGTAAACGGATGGCGTAAGCGTAGCAAAACTTATGCTTTTTAAAACAAAAACCCATTAGTGTAAACGATGCCTAATACTTTAAGTAATATTCACAACAGACATTTTTACTGGACTTGCACTACATTTTTGGGGAGGTAATGGTACTTTTACTTGAGTGTGATGTTTCCACCTCTCATTATTTTCATTATATCAAGAAAAAAAGTGTGAATTGTTGATTAATGTGATGATGTGTTTGCTTGTCTGCAGTTTTGGAGAACCTGTTCAAAAACAGAGAGCCGGTTCCAGATATGAAGGCCATCTACTTCATGGCTCCCACTGTTGAGGTCAGTTTTAAGGAGACACTCGTGCTGGGGGATGTGGACAAAAGTTTTCATAGCAATCTTTATATTAGAGATGCACGAAAGGGTTGTCACTGTACTGGGATTCAGTACCAGTTGGTACTGACATTTTAAAAACATTTGAGCGCATTTTTAAACATCCCTGATTGGCCGTTGTGTTCACATGCTCAACAGAAATGACTGTGATTGGCCGTGAAGGTTATCAATTCACTGAACTCACCGCTGTTTACTGAGTGTAGCCACAGATACAGGGGATACCGGAGTGTTTTAAAGTCGTAAAGATAAATCACTCAAGTTGAAAAATCTCGGGAGCTTTGTTTTGTAGGGGAGTGATTATGACGTAGCTCTAGTTGTTGGTGGTGTCCCTGGGGGAAATCCTCCTGCCAACACCGGACAACAGTTCATCAAACTGGGCTTGGCTCGGTCGGGAGTACAGCTTAAAGCATCCAGGTATAGTTTCTGGAGGAGTTTAGGAACTCACAGTGCTGGTTGCACTTTAGAATGGATCTAGTGGACTCAGACACGGCTCCAAACAAATCGACGCTGTTTTTCAGTCTTCCTGAAGCACATAAACACAGCTATTAAATCCATGTTAGCCATTTAGCATTGAAGCTAGAGTCAGCGGGCACACAGAAGCCCCACCAATGATGCAAATTCACGTCTATTGTGAAGTCAATTAAACTCAAAATGTTCACGTGTGTATAGCACAATTAATCCGTATCTGGTGTGAGTAGTGTCTAGCAGTGTCTATGAATCTTGCGCCGGTGATCTTTTGCGCAGCTTTGACTACCCTCCGGATCCTCTCCCTGTCTGCCATGGTGCAGCTACCACACCATACTGTGATGCAGTATGTCAGCAAACTCTCAATTGATGCACGGTAGAAGGTCAACAGCAGGCTGGGGGTCAAGGTTGTGCTTCCTGAGAACGCTTAGGAAGTGAAGTGTCTACTGGGTCTTTTTGATGATTGCTCTAACCATGAGATGTTGCTTGAGATGAGCATGCAGAGAAACCAGAAAGTGTGGACCCTCTCCACACACTCACCATTGATGTAGAGTGGGGCTAAGTCAGTGCTGTGGCTCCTGAAGTCGACATGATCTCTTTAGTTTTCTTCGTGTTCAGAGCTAGGTTATTCTCCGAGCACCAGGTTGCCAGCTTCAGGAGCTCCTCTCTGTGCGCCGATTCATCACAACTTGAGATGAGTCAGACCACTGTCATCAGCAAACTTCACATTAGGCTTGGGTGGTATCCAAATTTTGATACCGTCAAACCTCCTCCCTATTTTACCCCGGTATTACCGTGTGTATTAAAAAAAATGATGACGTAAGGCTCAGACAGCATCACCAAACTTTTGGCGTGTGCCTAAATCATTCAGAAACTGAATACCGTATATGCGAGCTTAGGTTCGCGGTCACCTGTGTGTCTTGTTTGTATTAGAGATCTATGCAGGATCTCATTCACACACACACACACACACACACACACACATACACGCACACACAAACACACAGAGAGAGAGAGACAGCACCATGCACTCTCTCTCATTCACACATAGTGAGCGTCAAGCGACACACAGAATCACGCTATCTCTCATTTACACACACACACACACACACACACACACACACACACACAGCATCCACGTGAATGCGCGTGTGCTCGCTCGCTCCAGAGCGATATTGTTAGACCGCGGGCCCGCTCCCTTTTAAATTACAGCAGAGTTACCGACCGCTCCCGCGCCTTTTCGGAAATGTATTCCCGCACCGCAAGAAATCTGGTCGGGTCCCATGGTACAGCAGCTGAAATGCAGACCTCTAGTTCGTATTTACCACGTCTTCCTTCTTGTTCGGTCGAAACCGGCAATACTGCCAAACTGCTGGACACTTGGTGCGCTACTCGCCGCCATCTCTCCTCCACACTGTCTCATGATGACAGTCACGCATACTCATTTGTAGGCATTAAATAAATAATATTTATTATTTAATACTTGTCTCCTATATAAGTGCATTGTTTTTATGATGGTATAACGGTATTAAAACTGACACCATTGCTATTTTTAGATCCTGCTGTATACCATATTACTGCATTACTGCCCAAGCCTACTTCACAATGAGGTTTCTGTCATGGGACGGACTACAGTCATATGTGTAGAGACTGTACAGGAAGGGGTTCTGTAGCCGATTGTGACAAAACACTTCTGCCTGTTAAAAATAAATAAAAAAGCAAGCACTGAGGATTTGTTGCTTATTTCTGTGGTTGAATCGTGAATTCTGTATACGTTACACCCCTAGTCAGTATCAATGATTATTGCATGGCAGTCTGGAATTAGAACTAATAATAAGCAGTATCACTGACATTACTGTGATGAGCTGGTAATGACCTGAATGTTTTATTTTACAGTGTATTGATGCATTTATTAATGACTTCAAACCCAAGCCCAAATACAAAGCTGCGTATGTCTTCTTCACGGACTGTGAGTTCGCTGCTTCAGCTCTTGCGTGATTTACTTACGACCAAAGATAGATTGTGTTCTTATTTGATTAATATTGTTTTCAAAATCACCCCAGACTGTCCTGATGAGCTCTTCGACAAAATGAAGAAGAACTGCGCCAAGCACATTAAAAAGTGTAAAGAGATCAACATCTCCTTTCTGCCACAGGAAGCACAAGTGAGTGGAACTATTTTCTGGAAGTCCATGTTGCTATATTGTGTTGTGTACAGTGTTGGGTATGTTTAAAAATACTTCTTACAAATAGTAACTGAGTTAGTAACTGCATAGACCACAGCTAGTCAACAAAAAAGTCTAAAAATACAATATGCTTCTTAAGAAATAAAACAAATATAGTATGAATATTAGTGTTATTTTAGAGTATTTGTTTTATATTTAGACGAAATATAACAATAACAATGACCTTTTTTCATGGTTGAAACACTGATTCGATGATTATTTGAGAGACTACACATTGCAGCCTGTTTCTTTCAACAAACTTTGTGCTCAATCATGTTTTAATCTTGGCATAATTTAAGTACATTTTAACTCACTGACGCTATATGGCCAAACTTCGCCTTCATTTACGATAAGCCGATGATATGAAAATGTATTTGTAAATTATTTTAAAATATACTCACATGATTGACTTGTTTTCCTACTATTGATTATTTGCCTCACCCCTGCCTCATGCCAATCATCAGTTATGTGGTTGTCCCACCCCCACACACACTTGCCAATCATCAGTTATGCGATTTTCCCTCTCATACACACACACACACACGCCAATCATCATCAGTTATGTAGTTGTCCCACTCCCACACACGTATACCAATCATCATCAGGTATGTGGTTTTCCCACTCCTACATGCACAGGCCAGTCATCAGTTATGTAGTTGTCCCACCCCTACACACATGCCAGTAATTACCAGTTATGTAGTTGTCCTGCCCCTACACACATATACAAATCATCATCAGTTATGTATTGTCCCCCTTACACACAAATGCCAATAGTCACCAATTATGTAGTTGCCCTACCACTACACACGCATGCCAATCATCATCAGTTATGTAATTGCCCTACCCCTACACACATATGCCAATCGTCATCAGTTATGTAGTTGTCCCACCCCTACGCACATACCAGTCATTATCAGTTATGTAGTTGTCCTACCCCTAAACACACATTCCAATCATCATCAGTTATGTAGTTGTGCCACCCCTACACGAAAATGCCAATCATTTTCAGTTATGTAGTTGTCCCACCCCTACACACATGCCAATCATTATCAGTTATGTAGTTGTCCCACCCCTACACACACATGCCAATAATCATCAGTTATGTAGTTGTCCCACCCCTACAAACGCATGCCAATCATCATCAGTTATGTAGTTGTCCCAACCCCAACATACGCATGCCAAGCATCATCAGTTGTGTAGTTGTCCCACCCCTACTCACATGCCAGTCATTACCAGTTATGTAGTTGTCCCGCCCCTACACACATATACCAATCATTATCAGTTATGTAGTTGTCCCACCCCTACAAACGCATGCCAATCATTATCAGTTATGTAGTTTTCCCAACCCCAACACACATATGCCAATCGTCATCAGTTATGTAGTTGCTCCACCACTACATACAAAGACGCCCTTTATTTATAATGTCACTATTGCCATCACTGATTGTTTTTATGTTTGTGTCACTTGTACAGGTGTTCACCTGCGAGAACCCAGAGGCCTTTAAGAAGATCTACAGTGGGTTCAGTCAGGACAGAGAGAAGACGCTGGATAAAATTGCAGATCAGATTGTAACTCTCTGTGCTACGCTGGACGAGTATCCTGGAGTCCGATACAAAAGGTGCAGATGCTGTTTCTCACTGTACAGCAGCTGGAGTTACACTGCTTTAATGAACACTTCAGCTATGTTTAATGCATATATTCTTGGTTGTATGCAGAGAATCGACTCCTGGATATGGAAAGATGTTGGCTGAACTTGTTGATAATAAACTGGCCCGGCATTATGAGTTGGATGAAATTACGACAAAAAAGGTGAGAGATGTTGAGTGTTTACAACAGCCAAGCACATCAGCGTATATGGCCCTGTTCACACCCGCTCACTTTGTGTGTTTTTTACGATGAGATTGGACTGGTCTAAATGCATCTTGTTGTTGAAATCTTGTATTCAAGTTTAACACATTCCAAAATAGTAGGCTGTGTAGGCTATGTGGCATAGTCAGATATAACAGCACTAATTTACAACATGTAACGGCAATGCTACAGTTGACATCTTGAGATGTTTATTTCATTATATTATATATTTACATTACATTTAAATAAATGTAATTTATTTGTTTATTTACATGTAATGTAAATGTAAAACAAATCAAATAATGACTTTGATGCAGATTTTTGAGTATCGACACTTTTTAATCATTTAGAGCTTTAAAGCATTAAAATGAAAGACAGGTTGTCTCATGCATCATTGCCAATTAAAATCAGAGACTTACCAAAGCCTTTGAAGACTTACTCAAGAGTTTTGAAGACTTAACAGAAGACATTTTAAGTACTTACTGAAGACTTTTGGAAACTTACTGGACTTTTGGAGACTTGTTGAAGACCTTTGGAGACTTACTTGACTTTTGGAGACTTGCTGAAGACCTTTGGAGACTTACTTGACTTTTGGAGACTTGCTGAAGACCTTTGGAGACTTACTTGACTTTTGGAGACTTGCTGAAGACCTTTGGAGACTTACTGGACTTTTGGAGACTTACTAGACTTGCTGAAGGCTTTTGGAGACGTACTAAAGAATTTTTTGAAGACTTTTGTTGACTTATTAAGGACTTTTGAACACCCACTGAATACTTTTAAAGACTTGCAGCAGACTTTTGAAAACTTAATGAAGACTTGCTGATTACCTTTTTTGAAGACATTTTTAAGAGTTTTGTAGACTTTCTAAAGACTTGTAGACTACCTAAAGAATTTAAAGGACTTTTAAAATACTTTTGAAGACTTTTAAAGACTTTTGGAAACTTACTGGAGAATTTCTGATTACTTTTGAAAACTTTTCAAGACTTAAAGACATTTGAAGATATTTGAAGACTTTCTGAAGACTTTCCGTAGATGTTTGAAGACTTTTGAAACTTTTGAAGACATCTGATAACTTTCTGAAGACCGTTGAAGTCCTACTGATGACTTTTGAAGAGTTGCTAAAAACTTTTGATGACTTACTAAAGACTTTTGAAGGCTTGCTGGAGACTTACTGATAATTTTAGTTTTGAACACTTAATGATTTGTGTTTTTTTTTGTGATGTTTCTGCTTGCTCTTGAAACCTGGTCTTTGATATTCAGGAAAAAACACCGGCGCAGCTGCTGATTGTTGACCGTGCAATGGACCCTGTTAGTCCCATTCTTCACGAGCTCACTTACCAAGCCATGGCTTATGACCTCATACCTATAAATAACAACATCTACGAGTAAGTCCCCTTTTCACCTGCTCTCTCTTCAACACTGATATCAGCTGGACACCAGTGCAGTTATGATCATGTCTTTACTCTTATTTAAAGCTTTGGATGACAGTGGCTGTGTTTACCAAACAACCAAAACTGCTAAAGAGTTATGCCGAGTTCAGACTGCGTGATTTTAGCCCCGATTTTGGCTCGCCGACAGGTTTTGAGAAATCGCAGACAAATGCCTGTAATCACAAGGAAATCACTGCTCGTGCACATGAGTGACAATCACACAGTATGAACTATCAAAGACGCGATCTCTCTCAGATCGTAATAATAAAGAGTCGCCGATGGCTGCGAGATATTTGGCGTGCTGAATATCTGGAGCTGTCAGCGATTCAAATCATGCCGTGTGAATTAAGAATTGACTGAAAATAACATCAGCGATCGCCTACAGCCAATGAGAGAGCAGCATTCACTTCTGTGTGTGTGTATACCTGCTGCAGGCCAGCGGGAGGCTGCGGGAGAAGTTAAAAGCGCTCTTTTACGGTTTATTTGGACCCACGAAATGGAGGAAAAACTAGTGGAGGTTTGACAGGACTCAGGGGCAACCGTGTCTGTTTGACGTTTCATACAGAAAGAAATTATTTTATTATTAACGTTGAGGAGAAATGGCTAATTCCCTTTAAACCCAGGTGAGCAAACATGTACATTTTCCACCCCATTAAAGGCTTCTTTCTCATTATGTAGTTAATAACAATAGATATACTACGTGTTTTTGGCTGTGAGACGTGGTTTGGACGAAGTTGTCGGCGATTCTTTCTATAGTAAAGTCATGCAATGTGAAAGCCCCTGTCACCGATCCATCTTACAGTGTAAACAAAACAGCGACGAAACGCTAGCCTAGATAGTCAAGCAGTGTGAAAACATCTGTGACACGACTACTTTGAAAATCATGCAGTCTGAACTCGGCATAAGCCTGAACAAAACAGACCCAAAGATAAGACAAAGTGTGTGCATAAACATTTAAATCTAAGTGTATACAGTAAAACTCATTTAAATGGATATTTGATTCACAATGTTTAGAGTTAATGTAAACAAATCTGTGTTGGATTAAATTCATTAATTATTGTCTAAAACTGGTGCATGTTAACATAGGCAGTGTGAAATCAGCTTTCTCCATAGTTTTTTATGTTTTTCTCTTAGGTATAAAATGAAGGATGGCTCCAAGAAAGAAGCTTTACTAAACGAAGATGATGAATTATGGGTCAAACTGCGGCACAGGCACATTGCTGAGGTCACTGAGTGAGTATTATTAATTGAGTTCAACGTTTTCGCGTTCGCCGTTTAACGTGCAAACATTAGATGGAGTGGTTAGCTCTTGACTAAACTGGATGTTTTATGGCAGTATTTTTCATGAATGAAAATAGCCCTTGTGTGTGGTATGGTGATATATATTCCATGGCAGCAGTGTACCGTCCATAACTACAGATTTTTCTGTGGTTAGTGCTGGAGTGTTGAGTTTACATTAGTGGGAAAAAAACACACACTAGGGTATTTCCTTTTTTGTTATGATTCGATTGAAGGTAAAACAAAGTTTATTAGATGCTGCAGCGGTTTACTTTAGCAAAATAAACATAAGAAACTAGAAAAAATACAAAAAGCATCTGATCATAAAGAATATGTTGGTTTTTTTGGACAGACAAACAGAGAAGACAGTAAAGGAATAACTAGTAAGTGCAATTGTTAATTATAGGTCAGTTAAAGGGGCCCTATTTTGCAAAAAACACTTTTATTTGGGGTTTAAAGCCAGTTGTGTGTCAGCAGTGTGTGAATATTACCAGCCTCTAATGGTCAATATGTATTCATTTTATTTTTAATTGTCACACTTGATGTAACACTTTGATTGATATTCTCCATTTGAATGCGTCATCAGAGGGGGAAAGCCCCGCCCACTAGTGCCCATCTCTCTCTCTCATTAGCATAAACAGCCCTGAGTGAGAAGCAGCCGTCCACTATTGGAGTTTTGACCCGCTGAAGATAATTTCAGTGGCCTTAGAGGATTATAAACGTGGAGTTTTAGATGAAGCACAAATGAACAGCGACCGGAGTCTCCATACACTGATGCATTCGGACACACTTCGTTTTGACATTACAATTTTCACAAAGATAATGTTGAATCTGCCACTATGCTGACACACAGGCATTTGTAGCTCCGCCCTGTTTTGTGCAATCTCATTTGAATTTAAAGCGACACATTTAGGGTCTAAATCTATAAGGGTCAGTCTCAGAGAGTTATAAAACGTCATCTGTGTGCTGTTTTGAGCTGAAACTTCACATACACACTCTAGGGACATCATGTACATCTTGTGAAAAGGGGCATAATAGGTCCTCTTTAAGTCAGTACAGTATTATACAAAAACTGTGTCAGTGTTACTTGACCTTTTTTCTTGAAGATAGAGCTATCTAATTTGAAATCTTTTTGTTCATGAATGAAAGGTAAACCGAGCATATTATTGCATCAAAATGTAATGATACGTCATTTCTAATAATACTTCATAGCCTCAGGGTTGTTTTGAATATTGAAACCATATACATTTTGTTCAATTAAAAGGTTGTATTACTCTTTTTTCTTTTTCTTCTTCTCCGATGTTTATTGTTTCATGTCTATAAAATCATCCAGAATGAGCCATCAAGCATGTTTATGTAGTTTGTTTTATATGTAGTTTATTTTAGTTAAACAAATGATGATTGAGAATCTCTCTCTTCCTGCTGTGTTCTGTGGGAATTGTTTGTTTGTAGTGTTAAAACGCTAATAATTATTTGGTAACACTTTAAACTGTTGACTTATTACCAGCCTATTTGTATGTTCATTCATTCATTTCCTTCGGCTTAGTCACTTTATTCATCAGGCGGAATGAACTGCCAACTTATCCAGCATATGTTTTACACAGCGGATGCCCTTCTAGCTGCAACCCAGTACTGGGAAACATCCATGCACTCTCATTCACACAGTCACTCATACAGTACGGCCAATTTAGCTTATTCAATTCCCCTGTAGCGCATGTGTTTGGACTGTGGGGGGAGCTGGAGCACCTGAAGGAAACCTACGCCAACACGGGGAGAACATGCAAACTCCACACAGAAATGCCAACTGGCCCAGCCGAGACTCAAACCACTGACCTTCTTGCTATGAGATGACAATGCCAACCACTAAGCCACTGAAACTTTGGATGGTTTTGCATTGTTGAATGATAGCTGATTTTACGCAATTCATTATATTATTGTTTTATTATTAGTTGCATTATATAATTACTGTTAGTATTGTAGAATATTTGTTAAACCAATTTCATCAAAGCGCATGCATTTATGTTACAACTTGAAAACCGAATATAGTGTGTGGTTATATTGGAATTAAAATATTTATCTAGAAATGGATTAGTCAATGCTTAAAGTAGCTTATTCATAAAGTGAGTTTAATTGATCTGGGCGTTTTACTGAGATTCTCATTCTCTGCCTGTCACTGCTGATTCAATGTGGGAACTAGGAGACCTAACATGTCAAAACCAGTGATGGGAATAATGGCGTTATAAATAAATGGTGATAGTTCATTCATTCATTCATTCATTCATTCATTCATTCATTCATTCATTCATTCAATCAATCATTTATTCATTCATTCATTCATTCATTCATTCATTCATTCATTTATTTCATTCATTCAATCATTCATTCATTCAATCATTCATTCATTCATTCATCCAATCATTCATTCATTCAATGAATCATTCATTCCATTCACTCCATTCATTCCATTCATTCATTCATTCATTCCATTCATTCATTCATTCATTCATTCATTCATTCATTCATTCATTCATTCATTCATTCCTTCATTCATTCATTAAATCATTCATTCATTCATTCATTTATTCAATTCATTCATTCATTCATTCATTCTTTCATTCGTTCAATAATTCAATCAATAATTCATTCCTTCATTTATTTGTTCATTCAATCATTCATTCATTCAATTATTCATTCATTTATTTTCTTTTTGGCTTAGTCCCTGTATTAATGTGGGGTCACCACAGCGGAATGAACCGCCAACTTATCCAGCATATGTTTTACGCAGCGGATGCCCTTCCAGCCGCAACTCATACACACGCATTCACACACATACACTACAGAAAATTTAGCTTACCCAATTCCCCTATAGCGCATGTGTTTGGACTGTGGTGGAAACCGAAGCATTTGGAGGAAACACATGCAAACATGACGAGAACATGCAAACTCCACTTAGAAATGCCAACTGATCCAGCCGAGGCTTGAACCAGCGACCTTCTTGCTGTGAGGCGATTGTACTGCCCACTGAGCCACCCTTCTGCCCAGACTGCATTTAGTGAATATTTAATTTTATTTTTCAGTATTTAAAATATCGAGGCTGTATTTAATGAATATAATTATCGGATGTGTAGAACCAACACAAGAACATGTATAAATTGCTGAATAAATGTCCACCTCAATCCTCCTCCTTGTTGCACTGCATTATGGGAGTGATTTAACCTCAGAAAACCGCGTGACCTTGTTACATCCCAAATAATTACTGTCACGAAGATCTCCAGTAATGTAAGCAGCGCATATTTGTTTATTTCCAAAGGCAAATCCCCAAACTGGTGAAGGACATCTCTGCCAGCAGAGACGAGAAACAACAGGGTGATGGGAAGGTACCGTATATACTTACTCAGATTACAGCTCAGAACAATATCAGCCCTCTCCGGTGTCAGATGGCCTCATATGAGCATGTCATAAATGTCATTGGCAGATCACAATCGGAGCCCTTTCACAGCTCATGAAGAAGATGCCAGCTTTCCGCAAGCAAGTGACACAGGTAATCCAACGCTGGCACCGATACCAGAGACGGAGAGATCACTTTCACATTCATATGACCGGGCAAAAGTGTGGGATCTCCACCAGTTTCTAATGGTTTTAAACAGTCCTTTATTTTCCTCACCGATGCATCACAGATACAGTCAAATTGTGAAATATAGTTGCAGCTTAAAGAACTGTTTTCTTATTGAGTGTTGTTTTAAAGTGCAATTTATTCCTGGGATTTAAAGCTGAATTTTGCACATCGTTATTACTGTCTTTGGTGTCTCACGATTCTTTAAAAATCATTATTTCATATATATAATATATAATCATTATTATATCATTATTAATATCATTAATCTCATTTATTAAACTCGTGGGCGTGCTGGTATAAAATCGAGGTGTGTTAAGGCGCATTGTTGGCGTGTTGCTATTTTGATCAACTGAAATAGACCGCACCATTGACAAACTAAAACAGGGGTGTCAAACTCATTTTAGCTCAGGGGCCACATGGAGTAAAATCCGTTCTCCAGTGGCCGGACAGGTCTTAACAATTGGTGGGTTTTTTTTTTTTTTTTTTGGGGGGGGGGGGTTTGGGTGGGTTGTTGTCGTTGTACATTTTTGAAGAGGGGGGGTGTTGGGGGGGTTGAGTACCACGCCACGCCTTCTTTTAAATGGTACGTTTTCATACGACGGAACTCGTACTAAATAGCCACTAAACTGACGGATTGTAAAATAGTTACGTTTCCTCGTAAGATTACCTCAGTGTGCAGGGCTTCCCACAGGTTTAAAATATACTTGGAAGAGGCCGGTTAGCTCAGCTGGTTAGAATGTGGTGCTAATAACGCCAAGGACGCGGGTTCGATCCCTGTACTGGCCAATCGTTTGTCCTCATTTGTAAGTCGCTTTGGATAAAAGCGTCTGCTAAATGACTAAATGTAAATGTAAATGTACTTGCAGTGGTAGCCGGATTGAAACGCACCTTTTACCCACAGCAAATAAATGGTCAACTACATGCAACTAACGAAAAAATTATGTGATTTTTATTTATTTGATTATTATATATTTAGTTGCTATGTTGGAATGACATTTACAGTATTGTCAAAGCATTTTAGATATGTATAAAGTATGTAATATATTAACATCATTAAATTAATAAAGTTTACAGCCAATGAGAAATATTGCTAAAAATTATAATAATAACTAGAATAAAAATTGTAGATTATTCAAATGAATCAAATTAGTTGATTAGCCATTTCTAATGGTGTACAAATATTTTGCAGCCATTGTCGATGTCATTTTGTTCTCTCTGAGTATACAGTTTATCTGAGTCGTTTATTAAATGATTAATCATTTATTGTTTCTCTCGCGGCTGTGCGCGCACAGTCAGCTGTGAAATGGTAATGCAAAAAACGCATACAAATAACGGCAACTTTAGAAAGCGAAAGTAAAACCTGAATCCTGGACATTTTAGGTGACTCAGAAACTATGGTTTAATGCATTTTGGCGGAAAAGGCGCATCTCTGTGGGTCTGCAGTGCATGTGAGAATTTCTGTGGCAGATCGTGCACGCACCAAATCTGCAGTAGGAAACGTGCAGAGCAAGAGAAGATCTTCCTCTGGTTAATCGATCGCAAATGTTTAGTTTTCTTGGACGGATACAAAAAAAATTGTCAAAAGATGATAATAATAGTATTATTCATGCGTCATCGCCATCAAATATACCTGGGCGGCCCGCCCAAGTAAAGTCTATGTGTGGGAAGCACTGGTGTAGTATGACAGGGTATAGACAGTCTATGGTATACACGAGGTCTTCTTAGATGGCTGGATGAAACTAACAGTTTGCTATTGCGCCATCCAGTGGACACAATTAGAACCGCAGTATATTTTATTAACAATTGCATCTCACAGAATCATCTCGCGGGTCGCATTAAATTAGTTTGCGAACCGAACGTTTGACACCCCTGAAGTAAAAGCTGCTCTAAAGCATTAGTTATGTACCTATGCAGGTTTCATCATAGGTATGCCTCAACTAAGAGAGATGAAATGAGAAAACAAATTCAGAAAATCACATTGTAGGATTTTTTTTCTAAATTTATTGGTAAATTATGATGGAAAGTAAGTATTTGGTCACCTACAAACAAGCAAGATTTCTGTCTCTCACAGACCTGTAACTTCTTCTTTAATGCATGTTATTCTCAAAACACACATAGAACTCATTAATAGGATAAGCACAGTCCTGTTAGACCATGCACCAGGGCACAGAGCGTATTTTTCCGACCTTAAAATAGCAAAAGTGGATTCGGACACTTTTATTGCTTTTGCGCCCTGCACTTTAGACTTTGCGACTAGATCACAAAAATAGTTTTCAGTTTCAGTAGAGGCTGCCTAAAACACGGTAAAAGCCCACTGTATGACTCACTTGCAGTTTCTATCTTTCCCATGTTTTTCTCTCTCAGAAAACCGTGCACCTACATTTAGCCGAGGATCTGATGGGCCATTACCAGAAGAACGTGGAGAAACTCTGCAAAGCGGAGCAGGTAAGAGAGTTTAGACCTATTTGATCAGCCCACTTGAATATTTGATTAAAAATTCAGCCACAAATGGTGCCGTGCAATGCACAGATCTAATATAGGGAGTCAACGAAAGTTGACACAATGGGCCCTATCATACACCCGGCGCAGTGTGGCACAAGACGTGGCGCAATAGTCTTTTGGTAGTTTCAGCTTGGCGCAAGAGTGGTTTTGAGGCGTTGTGCTGCGCTGTTTAAATAGCAAATGCATTAGCGCTCATTTGTGCGCTCATAGGCGTTCTGGTCTAAAAAGGAAGGTGTTCTGAGGCGCACTGCTGGCGTGTTGCTATTTTGAGAAACTATAATAGATTTTTCATTAGACCAAAACAAACCCGGTGTAAACTCCAGCGCAGAGTTGCACCTCGCTTACACACTGCTTAATACACACAAGAGAGCAATAGGCAAATATCTTTCCATATAAAAAAATGTAAATATTAAGGATATATATAGGATATAATAAGAATAGATATAGGATATAAATATAAAGGATTAAAATATTACAAACATATTATTTTCTAGCCTACATAAATATGAAAAATCACTGCTTTTATGTCTTCTTCATCTCGGGAGGCTTTTTCAGTTCATTCATAACAATTTGCTTTTGTATAATGTTATTATTATTAGCAGTGTTATTTATTATATCCATATTTATATTTGTTTTATTAAAAACAAGCTTAGATTTGTCCACCTGTCAGGTTTTAGACCATATGGGGCACAGCAGGTGTTTTAGGATATAACTCAGGTTTTTGAGCACATTTTGTTATTATTGTTCATTTATTGGTTTGCTGGAAATTAGAACTGAATTTAGAAATAGCTTTAAAACAAATCTTTGCGCTTAACAAACAAAATTATTTATTTATAGACTAATTGATGTCTGTGCGTAAAGGTTTCCTTAACTAAGAGCGAATGTGAAAGTAGATCCATTATCTCTCATTCTCACGCAGTAGATGCTCTGTTTAACTGTTTTCTGTTAAAAAAACTGTTAACTGTTAACTGTTTGCTTGTGAAATGCTCATTTTTTCCACTTAGACTTACTTTGCGTCCTGTAAATAGTGAATGCGCTCTTGGCTAGACGCAGCTGGCTCTTAAAGGGAATGGGAGATGAGACTCTAATTGGTTTATTCTCAAAACACACCTATAAATCATTAAGAAAATAAACTCAACCCCTTTAGACCATGTGTTTAGATTTCACATCCTTAAATTAGCAAAAATGCGTCCTGACACACCCTGAAAGCGTTTACACCCTGCGTTTTGCACTCTGCGCATGGACCGTCAAAATAGAGCCCATTGTGTTTTTGCATTCTCAAGTTAGTAATTTCCAATAAAGATGCGCTGATATATGTTTTCAGGATGCAGCGAAATGAAAACAACTTTTTTAAATGCTGCAATCACACCGCGAGTATATACACAGTAAATATACACAGTAATAATGGTATGGATGGGATTTAATGGAATATAAACCATTACCTGATACAAACACTTTAACAAATCAGATCTGTTGTGTGCTGTGTCACGCAGTGTACTTGTTCAAGACCAACACGGGCTAGATTTTTCACACTGAACATAAATAAAACAACATAAACATACCAAAAAAAGGCATGCATCAATAAACAAACTAAGTGGAGCAATCATACAAATACTTTAAAAGTATTTATACTTTGCACATTAAAGTACATGCACTTATTGTGTAAAGTTGATCACTTTTGTAACTTGTTTTATCAATGTTTATTAAATAGTGGTAGTATTTTGTGCTCCACATTTTATTATCTCTTTAAAGTTTCATATGACTATGTACATTCATTTCCTAATTTCTGTTTATTCAACACATTTCTAAACATAATCATTTGTATTCTGACTTCAACTGTAGAGCCAGAAAGCAATATTCCTGTCATTTCTAATGTGTGCCAGGGTTTACAGGGACACGATGCCCTCTTCTGGCCACAGGCTGTCCTCACATCTCTGATTTCTGTGTTTTTCAGGATCTGGCTGTCGGTGCAGACGCTGAGGGACAGAAGGTTAAAGACCCCATGCGGACGCTGCTTCCTGTGCTTTTACACCAGCACGACACCACCGACAAGATCCGCGCCGTCCTGCTCTACATCTTCAGCCTCAATGGTGGATCCTTCTCTTTCTTTTCTTAATTTTTCTTTTCTTTGAAAACTTTATCCATTAGATTGTTTTCATACCCTAACACATTCACCAAACAAACACTTACACCGCAGCTAACAACTAGAACAGTAAAGCTCGTAGACGAACTTCATGGTATCTTGAGAAAGCCTAGTCTGAGTGTTTGAAGTAGCCTTAAAAATTAAATAAATGACGTGGTTTTAAGAAGTTTGAAACAGTCGGCATAGATAGATAAGTACATATGTGTTAGCATGTTTCTAGAATGAATTAGCAAGTTGCTAGTATGGTTGTTAGTATATTTTTTGTATAAACTAGCATGTTGTTAGCATGAATTTAGTATGAATAAGCTTGTTGTTAGTATGTTTGTTAGTATGTTTCTAGTATGAATTGGTGTATTGCTAGTATGTTAGTATATTTCTAGTATAAACTAGCATGTTGTTAGCATGAATTTAGTTAGCATGTTAGTATTTTTCTAGTATAAACTAGCATGTTGTTAGCATGAATTTAGTTAGCATGTTAGTATTTTTCTAGTATAAACTAGCATGTTGTTAGCATGAATTTAGTTAGCATGTTAGTATTTTTCTAGTATAAACTAGCATGTTGTTAGCATGAATTTAGTATGAATAAGCTTGTTGTTAGTATGTTTGTTAGTATGTTTCTAGTATGAATTGGTGTATTGCTAGTATGTTAGTATATTTCTAGTATAAACTAGCATGTTGTTAGCATGAATTTAGTTAGCATGTTAGTATTTTTCTAGTATAAACTAGCATGTTGTTAGCATGAATTTAGTTAGCATGTTAGTATTTTTCTAGTATAAACTAACATGTTGTTAGCATGAATTTAGTATGAATAAGCATGTTGCTAGTATGTTTGTTAGTGTGTTTCTAGTATGAATTGTTGTGTTGTTAGCATGTAATGTAAAGTCAATGGTTTTTTACATTACATTTTTACAATGGAAGTCTATAAGACTAGGGTGTCGCAAGTGGTTGCTAGGGTGTGGCTAGTAAGTTGGCAGATTGGTAGTCTGAGTTAAATGAGCCAAACCTTAAGTCTGTATGACAGTCTGGCAGAATGTTATGAGGTCATAAAGTTTGGCCCAATGTTAAGTCAATGGGACTTTTCAGAATTTTCCAGGTCAGTTTTGGGAAAACCGTAAGTTGGATCAGTTTGAGTCAGACCAGTTTGGAGGTTTGGTGTTAGTTTGGAGGTTGTAGTATGAATGGTCTCAGAGAAGATTCATATAGAAATTAGTGTCAGAAGAAGATGACGGAAGAAGAATATTAAGTTTATGTTGTATAACAGTATGTTGGTTTTCTCAAGCCACTATAATAACACAAACATAAAAATAAAAGTAAAGTGTTCAAGGATGTCTTTTCTTCAAGAACTCACTTCTTCTAGTAGAATTATTCATATTAGCCTCTTTCTAATCTCAGAATCTAGCGGAAAGCATTTTGTTTGTAAGTTTAAAGATTTAACTAACTGAAAAGGAAAGTATGTTAATAAAATACTAATGCTTAAAAAATAATGATGATAATAACAACAATAGGGGGGGGGGGGTAATACATTTCTTCAGTTTAACTATTCTTGGTGTAATTTATCTTTTTTAAATGATTTATTAAAGGTTGACAAATGTTTCTTTTCTCCAAATGCTTCATTGCGTCCCTCATTAGGTTTAAATATGCAGGAGAAAGTTCATGTTTCCAGTTTTATAATGTTAAAGGTAGGGATGTAACGATACACAAAAGGCACGGTTCGGTTCACTTCACGGTTTTGGAGCCACGGTTCGGTTCGGTACGGTTCGGTTTCTGTTTGCTGTGGGGTTAGGATTGATGTCATGTTAACAGCAATGCTAAGAGACAATTCACTTAATAAAAAGAACATCCTAACTTTTTCTTTATTAACTTTGTCATCGCATTTTTAGTACAGTCAGAATGTATTGTTTAAGACATCAGGTAAGAGGTGAAGGTCATCTTTGTTTATTTTATTCAGTATAGGGAAGAATGCGGCGCTCGGCGCTGAAGACCTTTTTTCTTTTCATCAGTTTTAGCGAGGTAAGAGGGGTTATTCATGAGTTAGAAGTGTTTTATTATATTTATTTATTTTGTTTGTCTTCACTATCACCCCCTTGCTCGAGTTTAACTAATTTTTGTTTGATACTTTTGTTTGAATTTGTTACTTTATTATATTATTTTTATTAGTGTAAATATTTCTCTTTTTTTGTAAATTTGGGCATTATTCTGGTTTTACTTTTGTACATTAAATCACTTTTGTTGGCAGATCTGTTGCTTATACCCTCACATTGTGAAATTACCACACTTTTTAAATGTTTTTCCTTACAAGTAAGTTTCGTGAAACTTGAGACAGACAGGCACTTTGTCTACGACACAAATTATATTCCTGTACTCAACTGGAAAACCAAAATGTTTCCACACAGATGACTTAAATGTGTCTGGGGGATCTGCAATCTCAGTACTATGGGGAGCAGCCGTCCTGCGTCCAGTAGTAACGAGTGTGATGCTCACTCAAGTCACATGACATAACATGCACTAAAATACTAACTTTAGAATATAATATTTAGAACAAATCCTCATCATTACTAAAACAATTGAATCAAATATGATATTAAAGATGTGTTTAAATTGGTTCAATTAGTTAGAGACAAGTGACGTCCACCTCAACAATGGGCAGCAGGGGGCGTGAGAGTACCGCGGTACGCCACGAGAGTTTCGCGATACGTATCGTGGTTGGTGTATCGCGATATTTCGGTTCGGTTTTAATATCGTTACACCCTTGGTTAAAGGGACAGTTCACACATTTACTCACTATTCACTTTCCCTCAAATGGTTTTAAACATGTATGAGTTACTTTCTTTTGTTGATCACAAAATAAGAAACCTTGAAGAAAGCTGGAAACCTATAACCATTGACTTCCATGGTTGAAAAAGCAAATACCATGCAAGTCGATGGTTACAGGTTTCCAGCATTTTTCAAAACATCTTCCATTTCTTCTAAACAAATTTTAAAAACAGTTTATTAGTAGATTATTTAGCCAGTAGTGTTAGTTAATGGTTTGTTAATATTGTGAATTTTGACCTAACCAGTGTTACCAGAATCTCAAGGTTTGGAAACAGTGAAGAGTGAGTAAATGATGACAGAAATGTAATTTTTGGGTGAACTATCCCTTTACCTGTCATGCTAGTAGACTGACAAATCAAGCTATGTTTTGTTCTGCATTATGTTTAGCCGTCTTTCTCAGTTTTGATCTTTTTTCTTGTCGTGTAGAGATCGAGTGTGTTTTCCTGCTGAGTGTGAATCATGTGTTTGTGTGTACCGATCAGGTACGACAACGGAGAATCTGAATAAACTGATTCAGAATGTGAAAATCGAGGATAAGGACGGCTACATCCAGAACTGGAACCAGCTGGGAGTCCCCATCCTCTCCTCGGTGAGTCTGTGCTTCATTTTCCTGCTGACATCTACATCTGTGAAATAAACCGATACACAAAACTGGAATATGGCTTAAAGCATTAGCTGATAAAGCAGTGTCATTCAGAGAGTCAACAAGGATAAAATCGTCACTTCCTGATAAACGTATAGTTATTATACATTTTTTGTGCTAGTGTGTGGTTTGTTTAGTCAGTATTGTAGGGATGGTATACAGTTAACCCAAAGAATGAGCAGTCTGTCAGATGAAGAAGAGCCGGAGTCAGAGATTTAAGTAAATAAAGCAAGTTTACTGAAGATAGTTTCATCAGCAGAAGCCAGCTTCAACACTCGCAATGAGTTCCTAGGCCGCTCTGCGTACAATCACCAATCAATAACAATTAAACTCTCACATCCATCATTAACTGCGTCACACATACAGGTGTTCTAACCTGATTGGTTAAAACACAGATAGACTTGGAAAGCTTCCACGTGGGGTTTGTGTGTATAATTCTGAACAATATCTTAAGCATGAATGTCAGACACAATAGACGCAAGAGACAATCTGTTTGTGGAAACTCAACAATGTTTCTTATACGTTTTATCAAACTGACCGTTTCATCAACAATCTGCTACAATATCCGAACTACACACAGTGTCTATCTACAAACAAAAGGAATTACTTTAATAGGGATTACAATCAAAACAGATCAATTAAACAGCTAAATTACTGTAGACAATATCAGGACAACTAGAGCAGATGTTTTTCTTCTCCTGTGTATGGGTAATCCCGTTCAGAGGGACAGCGGGAGAGATAGATCTCCATGACCTATGACCTGGTTTTTGTGTGTCTCCTGAGTTACAATAGACAGGCAAAGAGGAGCAAGGACACTGAACATTCTTATATGAAGCAATGTGTTAACTTATTCATTAATTAAAATCAATTCACAGTTAAATACTCATTCAAATAATTATATGCAGTAAAAGTGATGAGAAACAGGATGTTGAGAAAAAGAATAAACGTTGATTCACGTTGAGATGGATTTGAAGATAGAAATCCGACTCCTTCAGTATCATATGCTATTACACTGCTGTTGATTTAGTACTGTATTGCCTCAATATTTGGCAATACTGATGCATGTGTAAAATAGTTCTGCTAGTATTTACCTTCATCTCTCCTCATTCCAGTCAAACAGTTCTCGTAAAGTAGCTCGGAGAGACCGCTCGGAACAGGAGACGTATAATGTCTCTCGCTGGACACCCGTCATTAAAGACATAATGGAGGTGAGTAAAGCTCTGTGTGTGTGTGTGTGTGTATATATATATATATATATATATATATATATATATATATATATATATATATATATACACGTGTATATATATATATATATATTATTTTTTAATAAAACTGCTCTTCATGTCATAATATTGTCTAGCTTGTCCTACTGTAAGCGATTAATACTACAATCCTAAATCAAAAAAGTTGGGACAGTGATTTCTAAATTGACTTTGACTTGCATTTCTTAATGAAAGTGTAGCCTGTGACTGTGTGGTCAGCGAGAGATGGTAATGTTTTCCCTGTCATGTGAAACTATCAATTTGTTGTTGTTACTGTAACACAAGCCTGATCAGTATTTCAGCTGAAGGCCAAAAGAGCAAGTGGTATTTCTTTAATTTTTTGTCAAACTGTCTCTGAGCCAGCGGCCGTTCATATTGTTTGGCCCTTATATATAATAAAGCATGGTATGTTCTTACAATGACAATGTATAGTCCATCGCACACATGCATTGTCCAGCGATGAGGCCACTGTTATTCCTGCTATTGAGTGTCAGATCAGATGTCCTGCTTTCAGAAATGATGAATCCACACCCTCTTGTTTCCTTGTTCGCTTTGAAAAGCACATCGGCACCATTAAAAAGCCTCTGGTTAGAAACTCATGTGTTGATATTCTTCCTCTTCTAGCTAAATAAGCTTTGCGCATTGAGATTTGGACTTTTACTATAGCATTAATAAATATTTTATCTAACAAAGATTGTTTAAGAGAGATAAAAGTAGCATAGAGCGCCGTCTGCTGTTAAACACTAGCCTAAAGTAGTCTTCTGTTTAAAACTAGCCTAGAGCGCCGTCTGCTGTTATACTAGCCTAGAACGCCGTCTGTTGTTATAAACTAGCCTAAAGCGCCATCTGCTGTTAAAAATTAGCATAAAGCACCATCTGCTGTTAAAAACTAGCCTAGAGCGCCATCTGCTGTTAAATATCAGCCTAGAGTGCAATCTGCTGTTATAATCTAGCCTAGAGCACGACATCTGCTGTTATAAACTAGCCTAGAGTGCCATCTGCTGTTATAAACTAGCCTAGAGCGCCATCTGCTGTTATAAACTAGCCTAGAGCGCCATCTGCTGTTATAATCTAGCCTAGAGCACGACATCTGCTGTTATAAACTAGCCTAGAGTGCCATCTGCTGTTATAAACTAGCCTAGAGCGCCATCTGCTGTTATATACTAGCATAGAGCACGACATCTGCTGTTATAATCTAGCCTAGAGCATGACATCTGCTGTTATAAACTAGCCTAGAGCGCCATCTGCTGTTATAAACTAGCCTAGACACCATCTGCTGTTATAAACTAGCATAGAGCACGACATCTGCTGTTATAAACTAGCCTAGAGCACCATCTGCTGCGCCATCTGCTGTTTAAAACTAGCCTAGAGCGCCGTCTGCTGTTAAATACTAGCCTAGAGCGCCGTCTGCTGTTAAATACTAGCCTAGAGCGCTGTCTGCTGTTTAAAACTAGCCTAGAGCGCCGTCTGCTGTTAAATACTAGCCTAGAGCGCCGTCTGCTATTAAATACTAGCCTAGAGCGCCGTCTGCTGTTAAATACTAGCCTAGAGCGCCGTCTGCTGTTTAAAACTAGCCTAGAGCGCCATCTGCTGTTGAATACTAGCCTAGAGCGCCGTCTGCTGTTTAAAACTAGCCTAGAGCACCATCTGCTGTTATAAACTAGCCTAGAGCACCATCTGCTGCGCCATCTGCTGTTTAAAACTAGCCTAGAGCACTGTCTGCTGTTAAATACTAGCCTAGAGCGCCGTCTGCTGTTATAAACTAGCCAAGAGTGCCGTCTGCTGTTTAAAATAAAGTTCAGAATGGATTTTTGGCATGGTTTTTTTGAGCACAGCTCTATTAAAAATGTATCCAAATGATTCAAGCAATGTAATTCAAGACTTCTGAAGAGACACGCTTGTTTGGTTCACCAGGTGATTTTGAAAATAAATTCTGCTGTATTTTCAGTGTCAGGCATTAGTGAGAAGAGGTGAAACAAAAAAAGACGTGTATTATAGTGCTGTCACTATCGGTACTGAGATTTTAAAAGCGTCCATTTCCCCCTAACATTTGAGGGAGTTCTTAAACAGCACTGATTTGCCATTGTGTTCACATGCTCAACAGAAATGGCTGTGATTGGCCGTGTAGGTCATCAGTTCACCAAACTCACCGCTGTTTACTAAGTGTAATCACAGATACAGGGAAACTGGAGCGTTTTAAAACCGTGATTCATCGGCAGATCACTCGTATGTCGGCTTATAGATGAACCAGCTGATCGACGTGTCTTTAAAACTCTTTCACAGCCAATCAGAGTCATTTCTGTTGAGTATGTGAACACAATGGCAAATAAGCGCTGTTAAAGAACATGCTCAACAGCGCTCAAATGTTAGCAGGAAATTAACCTTTTTAAAATTTTAATACCGAATTCCAGTATCGTGACAACCCGACTACATTACATTTTGATCATCATCAGTTATATATATTGGTGTGTGTTTCAGGACGCAGTGGAAAATAAACTGGATATCAAAGACTGGCCGTTTCAGTCTGAATGTCCGTCTGCGTGGAACGGCTCTCGGGCTGTAAGGTAAAGCTGTAAAGTTTGATCTGTATGCACTGCTCAGTTATGGTTAGGATCAATTTAACTCTTGATTTATGAATGCTGAAGCTGTAGTCAGTGTTTCTCTCTTCATCCCTCTGCCTGTCAGAGTGCTGAGGTAAGAGAGTTGTTGATCTGCACATGCAGGGCAACACTCATCATGTGGAGCTTGTCTTTTTAATTACTCTTTTAGTTTTTTGTTTTGCTTTTCTTCCAGTTTTTTTTTTTTTCTGCTCAAAATAGAAAAACGTATTCATTGTTGAGAATCGACATGCATGTGGTCAGTTAGATTATGGAGTACTGCTCAAAATTTTGGGCTAAGATAGTACGTTTTATTCATTAAGAATGCATTAAATGGCTCAAAGATACAGTAAAGGCACTTATAATGTTTCAAATAAATGCATGCTGTTTATCGTAAAAAAAAAAAAATATATATATATATATATATATATATATATATATATATATATATATATATATATATATATATATATAAATAATATATCAAATTATTAGCCCTCCTGTATATTTTTTCCACAATTTCTCTTTTACGGAGAGAAGATTTTTTTAGCACATTTCTAAACATAATAGTTTAATAACTCATCTCTAATAACTGATTTATTTTATCTTTGCCATGATGACAGTAAATAATAATACATACAGATAGTATTATACTAATATTAGACTAGATATTCTTCAAGACACTAGTATTCAGCTTAAAGTGACATGTAAAGGCTTTACTAGGGTAATTAGGGTAAAGTTAGAGTAATTAGGCAAGTCATTGTATAACAGTGGTTTGTTCTGGAGACAATCCAAAACTAATATTGCTTAATGGGGCCAATAATTTCATACCTGTCAACATTGGGATGTGTATATAAGGGATATGCCTACCATAATAAGGGATTCCCTCGACACCCTCCCTTAAGAAATCCCCAAATTACTAAATATGCTCATTTGGAGCTGTTTCGTTGTACAGTTAAATGGTCAGTAATATGTTTTTTATTATTTACATAAAAAATAATAGTATACATTAGCAGCAAATAAATTAGCAATCAGCTTATTAAAATTAATAGCTAATATAAAGAAACAGAATCAAGCTATCAAATCTCATTAGCCGTTTCTTCACTGCAACTTGCATATTCTGATTAAAGAGCAGCGAATGATTTATTTAGACTTTTTTTCGTTTGATTACATTAAATAATAGCTGTCTCTTTAAAAATGCACACATCTAACGTTATAATGAAAGCATTTGATTGTTTTCCTTACTTATTATGCTCATTTAGGACAAAAATAATTGTGTTTGAAAAAAAAAAACACCAAGATCAACATCTTTAGATGTTATTATTATTAATTATGTGTATAAGTCTGTTCAAACATGCACGCAAAACCCGGACTTTCGTTCCGCTTGAAATCTCGAATACAAATCCATTTAGGAAACATTATATCACTATGGAGCGCGTCAGCTGACAGTCACGCACTGCTATATGAATGTTTTGAGGATTGCATATGAAGGGGAGACAGCACCTGTGATAAAAAAGAAGGGAATCGCGCCGTTGTATCTTTATTTTATTTTCATTTCAAAGGGTTTTCATGCCCAAACAAAGCGAAAGCACAAAACAGTCTCACATTTAAGAGTAAGGGCGTCCCCTAGTGGTTCGGTAGTATGAGTTGCGTATAGGGAGGATAGGCTCTTGTTTATTTGCCACCCTTCAGAGAAACACTGACTGAAAATACGGGAGAAATACGGGAAAATATCTTTACGGGATGATAGCGGAACAGAACTGTAAAATGCAGGAGAATCCCGCAAAAAAACGGTAGGGTTGACAGAATAATATTGACCTTAAAATATTTTTTTAAAATTAAAAGCTGCTTCTATTCTAGCCGAATCAAAATTACTAAGACTTTCTCCAGAAGAAAAAATATTATAGCAAATACTGTGAAAAATTCCTGAATCTGTTACATTTCATTTTCTTAAAAAAGAAAAAATATTCACAGGAGGGTTAATAATTCTGACCTTATCTGTGTATACACCCCAAGTAAATGTTTTTACTCTTGCTGATTGTGTGTGTTTTGGTGTTGACCGTGTTATTAGTGCACGGCAGAAGCACAAGGGCAGCTCTCCAGGGGACATGAAGAACGGCTCGCGCCTCATCATCTTCGTTCTGGGTGGAGTCAGCTACTCTGAGATGCGCTGCGCTTATGAAGTCACCAACACTAATAAATCCTGTGAGGTCATCATCGGTAAGAGTTCACACGCCATCTGCACGATACAAACACGAACATTTAATTGACCGTATGCACAATTACTGTGTATTTCAATGAGCCAGCCCAGGTGTGAGCTGTAAGGACATTATGAACATTTACAGGTGCTGTGTGTGAGTTTTTGACTCTTCTAAAGCATAAAAACCCCATAATATGTTTGCAGATACTTCAGGAACATGCTCTGTGAACATTCTTGTTTGTCTGAGAAACAATGCTGAAGTCAGATGTTTTGCTTTCAAAATGTGAATTACGTGCTGGAACATCTGTCTTTGTTTTGGTCATTTAACCCGCCCACTTTCAGTTTAGCCAATCATATTTTAGCACCCCGGGTTGCCTTGGCGGAATACCAATATTTTGTTAATTCGGTCAGGAAGGCTCTCTAAGTGTGCGTCCGTGACCAAAATGCGTCCTCCGGTGGACAGTAACAGACTCCGAAATGAGATGCAGATTCAGAGTTCCACATGAGAAGGGTATTAATTAGCAAATAATATAAATATTAGGAGTGTAAACATTAGGTGAGCAGGTTACATTGTAACCCTGTGTCTGAACAACACACTATGTGACGAGATATGCTGTGATGAGCAATTTGGCTGTTTGCACCAGACGAAACAGGACAGAAATGTAAACACAGCCATTCAGAAGCACAGAATAGTGCACTCCCTGCACTCCAGCACAATGGCAAGCTTTATAATCTACTGAATACACATTAAACCTCTTTAACATGATTAAATGTAGATGCTGAATCACTGATATGTGTTGGTTTGCTCTGAGTCTCAGTTATGAAGTTCAGTTTCAGACGGTTTATTTGATTTTCCAGATCTGAGCTGAACTATCTGCTGCTGCTGTCAGTAGTCTGGCAAAACATGTGATGTGAAATGGCATTCAGACTCACATTATTAGCATTTAACACTGAATAAAGCACATGAGCTGTACCCGAGCTGATCATGGTCAGTTTTCTGTTGTTGAGCTGTGAGAAACAGAAGCCGTTTCTAATATATCAACTCGAGGTGTTGGTTTGGACAAAAACTCCATTTAATATGGAAAATATCCCTTCTATTGCATGTCATTAGTTAGAACTCGACCTAAATCAGCCTTTAGGCTCGATGGTCAGACACGTTGGTGTTGGTGTCATCAATGTGGCAACCCGTGTTTGCGTAGCGTCGTCAGAAGAGGTGCCAAGTAAAAACGTGTTTTGATTCACAAGTGCAATACCTAGTTCAACCACTGGGTGTCAAACTTACATGCTGCACCTTTTAAGATCTGAGTTCATAATCAATAATCTACACCTCCCGATTGAGACTATATTTAAAGAAGAAGGTCACACACCAGACAAGAAGCACTTCACTCAGATATATGTACATACTACCCTGTAAACTAGTTTAGGAGCCCTCAAGAGGCTCTGATTGGTCAGCTAACCTAATGTGTTGTGATTCGCAGATAGACTCCAAATCACCAGGAAATGTTATTCCTCTTACTAGCCATTCAGCATCAAGTGTAAACAGTTTAGTCATGCCTACTATCTAAAATAAATTTGACAAGTGTGTTTCATATATATTCAGGTTATGAGCATGTGTAAGTAATCTGAAACGTTCACATATCTTTTGCGAGTTTGGTATTTGAGATGTAGAACGCAGGGAAAGCGTCCGCACAGAGAGACACTGCAGCGCTGCTGAAGATTGTGGCTGTTTGACTGATAAATATGAATTTGTAGCTAAATTGTTAGCGGTGCCAAACAGCATTTCCTATTGTTTACATCCTTGCTACAATATTCCATTAACACTAGAAACTGTGCATGTCAGATTAATTTGAACACACTTACAGGTTGTGGCTCACAATCCACAGCTTCTGCTATTATGGTTGGAGCTGCTCCTACTTTGAAGAGTTTTCAGCACTGAACTGAGAGATTCTGGAAGCTGTCCTTTGTCAAATGCTAGCCATATATTTATTATAATTCTCTGGAACATAGTTACATCTAATTGTAAGCACTTCTCTCTTTGTGCCGTGTCCTTTGAAAGCCCAAAATACAGAAACAGACCTTTTTTTTTATACATTTCATATATGCATGTACTAACTTGTGGATGTCAACAAATGTATATTATGTAATGTAGGAGACGAATCTTGAAAACAATACATTGAATAAAAAACATGTACAGCCAACACAATCTCACGGCAATTCGTAACTTTTTCATTTAGTGGCTAATTCGTACAAATTCGTACGATCTATTTCGTACATTTTAGTACGATTTGCGTATCCCCCAATGACGGTTGGGTTTAGGGGTGGGGTTAGGTGCCACGCCTCCTTTTTAAATTCGTACATTTTCTTACGACTGAACGAATTCGTACGAATTAGCCACTAAATTGCCAAAACGTAAAATACTTACGTTTTCTCGTGAGATCAGGCTGGTACAGCCAATTCCAGACTGACTTATTTCAGCAATATTAACATGTTACACATTTGCACAGTGCATGAGTCAAGTAAAGCCTGTTGCCCTCCCTTAAGATATTCATCCATGTACGTACAGAAATAGTAAAGATCCAGGTTCCCTCTCATCAAATATTTAATACATTGCATATTTATTATACATTTACATATTGTATTTAAACATTTATTATTATATATGTTAGCTCCCTTATAACTCTTAACGGTTTAAAACTAAGAGCATACGCTATGATAAAGGTACATTTCGCACATATGTAAGCAGCCTTTCCTAAACCATGCTAACGTATGGATCGTCACCCACCTTCGTAAATAAAAACGCAATTTTTGTGGAATAACGTATATACTTTATTACGTTTAGAGTGTGGAGCGATAGAATGTTGGCCCACAAGATAATAAACAGCCATAAATGGTAAATGTTGGCAAAGTTTTCAGAGAGGTAGTGAAAACTATCGTATCTGACTCCATTGCTCCGGCCGAGAGTATGGATACGCAACTATCGCTCAACCGGATGTGCGTGCGACCGTCTGTGAAAAGGCCTATTACAGCACCTCTAGCCACGCCCCTTTGCTGTGCAGGTTGTATGCGCCAAACCTGAAGGGTTTATGATATCATTAACCTAAATGTATTATTTGGTAGTCCCTCAAACCTCATTGGCTGTAAGTTTTGCTTAGCTATGTAAAAGCCAATGTCTCCCTTTGCATTGAACTTTGAGCGTCTTTGCACTGTAAGAAAAGATGATTTAAATCTAACGTTTGAATGGTCCTCAGGCTCGACACACATCCTCACTCCTCGCAGTCTCCTGGAGGACATTTATAACCTGGGGAAAAAACCCATGGACACTTTGACCATCGAGGAGGGCAAAGTCTGAGCTCGTCCCGCCGCAATCCATCCCCCAGGACTGAAGGGAACAGATCTGCATTTACACCACACTATTCATTCATTCAATGTATAAAACAAACAGTGATCCACAGTCTGAAGGGATCACACGCCTAAATATGCTGCATTCAGGTTATATACGGTATATTCATCATGATATTAAGTGTTACACAACTAACTCCACTGAAGTGTGTTGAAGTAGAGCTCAATAAAGCATCTGTTAAAGCAGGGGTGTCCTGGAGGGCCGGTGTCCTGCTCATCTTAGCTCCGACTTGCTTCAACACACCTGCCTGCAAGTTTCTAGTATACCTAGTAAGAGCTTGATCAGCTTGTTCAGGTGTGTTTGATTAAGGTTGGAGCTAAACTCTACAGGACACCGGCCCTCCAGGATCGAGTGTAGACACTCCTGTGTTAAAGGGATAGTTCACGCAAAAATGTAAGTCGGTCGTCATTAACTCTCTCTACACTTGTTCAAGACCTGCGTGAGCTTTTTTCTCCTGTTATACACATAGGAAGATATTAGAAACAGCCACTGACTACCACTGTATTTTTTATGGATGTCAACATTCTTCAAAATATCTTCTTTTGTGTTCAACGGAAACAGACATGGTGTGGAAGTGTTCACTTTTGAGTGACTGTCTCTTTAATTTACAACAGGTTTACATACTTGGTTTGTTTGGTAACAGTAAAAGCACATTAATAAAGACTACAGAGGCCTTACAAACTGCTGCCGATGCTTGCACTGGATTTCCTGTAACACCTTTTGTATTTATCTCTCACACACTAACTGTAGTTACTTGCAAAAATCCTCTGACTGTTATTGAACAGATGTTTTAAAGTTTGCCTTTGTGTTCTTGAATCGGGTCTATTTGTACATAAACAGTGTGGTCTGCTTGCTGTTGTGCTGCTGTGTGTGCTTCAAAATAAAGAAAGGAGGGATTTGTTAGATACGCTTGCTGATATTGGACAACTGACATGACGTGAATGACGTGGTTCAATTCTCCTGTCTTGTTTTTTTTTGTAATGTTTCGATCATGTTTGTCATGTGGTCTGGCTAATTTCATCTGTACTTTAACTGTACTACATTAAAATGTGTCGTCTCAATGTGTGTGTGTGGTTTATTTTAAAACTATTATGCCAGAAATGTGCTGAAGTGCATCAACAAAGAGCATAGAATCACGGAGAGGCGACACTCTAGTGCAATTTGGGAAACAGCCACTAGATGGCGCGGCGGCCATTTTGGAATGAAAACTCCAATAGAACAACAGCATATTATAAGTCTGTAAAATAAACTATTAAAGGTGCTGATGATTGAGATAGTAAGTCTTGTTTCCACCACAGTCCAAAGACATGCGGTACAGGTGAATTGGGTAGGCTAAATTGTTCATTTGTATGAGTGTGAATGAGAGTGTATGGGTGTTTCCTAGAGATGGGTTGCGGCTGGAAGGGCATCCGCTGCGTAAAAACTTGCTGGATAAGTTGGCAGTTCATTCCGCTGTGGCGACCCCAGATTAATAAAGGGACTAAACTGAAAAGAAAATGAATGAATGAACTTCAATAATAAGCAGACAACAACTTAATAATCCACTATACATGGAGTTTTTTTAATATTGTTATACATGTATTTTTTTTTTAATTTTACGACTTTTATGGCAAATTACAGCAAAAAAGAGAAGACAAAATAGAATTATATTTCAAAAAGTATAGATAGTATCAACTTTAGCACATACGATGAGCAAAAAAAAAAAAAACATACCAACAAATAAAAAGGTAAATAATAATGTGGTTTAGCAAAAACTACAGTTGTACAATCTGAAGCACACAATACACTCTACTTCGCTTTTAGAAAATAAAATAAAATCAATTTGCTGGAACAGGGCGAGGCAGTGGCGCTGTATAGAGATCTGCGCGGGACTAAATTTTGAATCCCGCACCCGCCAGGTTTTAGCCCGAACCCGACCGCTCCCGCTTTTATTAAGCATTTGTTGTTGTAGCACCAAGCACACACACACAGACAAAGCTCTCCCTCTCTCTCATTCGCGCGCACTAACACACACACACACATAAGCAACAAGCACACACACAGGCCGCTCGGGAGTCAGCGCACTCCCGTCCCAAACTAAAATTTCTAAAATTCCTTAATTCGGAAATTTATTCCCACACCGCAGAAATCAGCCGCAGGAATGCAGACCTCTTGGACAGTAGGTAGTGCTGTCGCCTCACAGCAAGAAGGTCGCTGGGTCACTGGTTCGAACCTCGGCTCAGTTGGTGTTTCTGTGTGGAGTTTGCATGTTCTCCCTGCCTTCGCGTGGGTTTCCTCCGGGTGCTCCGGTTTCCCCTACAGTCCAAAGACATGCGGTACAGGTGAATTGGGTAGGCTAAATTGTCCGTAGTGTATAAGTGTGTGTGTGAATGTGTGTGTGGATGTTTCCCAGAGATGGGTTGTGGCTGGAAGGGCATCTGCTGCGTAAAAACTTGCTGGATAAGTTGGCGGTTCATTCCGCTGTGGCGACCCCGGATTAATAAAGGGACTAAGCAGACAAGAAAATGAATGAATGAATGAATTTGCTGGAACAAGGACTTGGTCTGTTGACAATAAAACATGTTCTTGGATATATTTCCTAAATGGGTCTCAAATTTTCTTAAACTGATTAGATGATCCCCTAGATAGTCTATTTTTTCCCACTTAACAAAAAAAGAGGACATCACGGATCCACTGTGTTGGGGTTGGAGGCTTCTGATCCTTCCACTTAAGCAATATTAGTCGTTTGGCCTGGAGCACAATAAAGCTATGCAATCAGATTGTATTTTTGTAAGATTAGGCAAAATTCCAAAAATGGCAATCAGTGGGCAAGGGGAGATGGATATACCCAGAAAACCAGATTTAGTTTTAAATATAGTGTCCCAGAAGTAATTAAGCTTTATACAAGACCAAAACATGTGTGCATGAGTGGCTGCGTTATACATGTAGCTTTTGAGGTTGGAAAGTTTGAAAAAAGTGACGTATTGACATCTTAATAGCTTGAAGCGATCTGTTGTCTGTGTTATTATGGTACAAAAACCTGATAAACTTAGAGCACTTGTTCTGTTATTTTACAGATAAAATATACTGTTTTAAAGTACTAAAATGTCAATATGTTGAACTGCTGCTGCATTTTTATAATTTACCACAGTTTACAATTTTCTACCAAAAATAAACGGAAAACAACTGTGAATCAGACACGAACTGAATTACAAAATACTTCGAGAACCTGTTAAAATACCACCTGACAAAAGGCTTATCTCCTATCCAAGTTTTAGGAACAAATAATAAGCTGACTTCTAGTTGATCATTTGGTACCAGAAGTGTCTTATATGAAAGGCCTCTAGATTACACTTATTTTACCACAATAAAATCTGATCATGCCTTGATTTTTAGTTCTATAATTAGGACAGTAAAGTCTGACTTTGCTTAGACAAAAGTCTTGAACAGAAATAATGTCCAGTATAGAATATAAAGTGCTGCTGCAGTGGAGACAGAATGAATATTGTGTCTGACTCCATCATGAGCTTGGAGGACTGCATCCATACATCTCTGACATGACTCACATCACTGATTAATAAAGTCATCTGGAATGAAGACGAAAGCCTTCAGCAGGACTCCGAGTTCATCAAGAGTCTTTGTGTTCATCTCCAACGCCTCCTCCTTCATCAGCTCAATAATGTTGATATCTGGTGACTGGGCTGGCCAATCCTTAAGCACTCTTTGCTTTCAGGAGCTTTGATGTGGAGCCTGAAGTATAAGCAGGAGCGCTATCCTGCTGGAGAATTGTCCCTCTCCTGTGGTTTGTAATGTAATGGGCAGCACAGATGTCTTGATACCTCAGCCTGTTGATGTTGCAGATCTTCCGCACACCCTTAAACTGAATGTCACCCCAAACCATGATTTCTCCATCACCAAACTTGACTGATTACTATGAGAATCTTGTCTCCACTTTTATACACACATTTGGTCTTCAGAGAGTGACTTTAACAGGGCTCAATGGGATTTCTGTCAGATCAGATTTCTTGATATATTTAATCATCAAATTCCTTCTTGGGTCTGAAAAACACTGGTTTAGCACTCATATGTAACAGGATAGTGCTTGTGAGAGCAGATGAAAGCTCTCTGATGACTCCTGGTTTACTGCCTCACAATGTCCGCATTCCCTCGGAGGACGCGATGATGCTGAGGCAAATAATCGTGTCGAATCTGGCCTCTTTTGGGACTTTATCTACAATATAAAACACATGGATGTGCGTGTTTGGCATCTGAATGAACAGTGTGTGAAAGTCTGTATACATTTACACAACTCTATCTGACGGAAAACCGATATATCAGCTTCATTTGTGGGAAACACTCCAGACAGTGAAGAGATGTCTGCCTTTTACACTACTGCCACCTAGAGGAGGCCTGAAATAAATCTCTATTTTATTTAATTTTATTCATATTTAACTAACCTGTGACTTTTATTTTATTTAAATATGTCTTAATATATATTTATTTATTTAGTTTTGTTCGGTAGACTTCTAAAAAAGTAGTTACATATATTTATTTTAAGTCTTATATCTTGCCCATAGGGGCAGTGATGTGATCGGATCTATGCGCAATTTATAAATAATATAGGAATAATAATTCTAATAATAGCGACAACAATAATGATAACTAAAAATAACAATTATAATAAATAAATTATTAAAAATATGCAGCTTTTATTGTAAATTAGTTTACATTTCTAAGTTAAAAAATATAATTTTGACAGCAAATTAACCTGATTAATAATAATAATATTATTATTATATTGCTTATTATTTTAGATATTTTAAAGATATAATAAATAAATGAATAGTCAGTATGAGACATCAGCATGAGACATAATTTAATATGTACAATATTTAATATAATATAGTATTATATATAATTTCATTATATTCCTATTTAACTAACCATTGAGTATATATATATATATATATATATATATATATATATATATATATATATATATATATATATATATATATATATATATATATATATATGTATGTATGTATGTAGACTATTTTATTATACATTTTAAACGAATTATTACTTCTTACATGTGTATAATTAATGTATAATAAATGTATAATAATAATAATAATAAATATTTTACACATATGTAATGTTGTTTTAGTAATGTGCATGATGTACCAGAGATGCAGCGTCTTTTCTTTTCTATAGAGGGCGCTGCTGGACGCACACATGACCATGACGTCTTTTTGAGGCGACGGAAAACTTGTTTGAATTACAGCTCGGCATTTACGACATATCCAGCTCAGTCTGCATTCAAAGACCGAGGTAAAACACAAACTCTTGATTATGTAAAGCTGTTGAATATGTGTTGTGTCTGTGTGCGAGTGAAGCCGCGTGTCAAGGCAGAAATCAGGCTATAAAGCTGCAGTGATGATGCAGAAGAGTGACAGATCCATCATTCAGATGCAGTCTGTGCTGCGCGCGCTGTATAGAGCTGAACTCGTGTGTTATATACAGATTAACTGCAGAAAGTGTGTGCTGGGGTTATATCCACATGAAATATGAGCTTTGTTCTGATACTGCTGGGTCAATAATACACATGCTGTCAAATGAAATACACTCAATTTTAATCACACAACCCATTCAGTGTCACGTGAATTCACATCACCGTCCAACTGGACCCGAAGAAAGATTTCCCCCTATATTTTCCCCAGCTAAAACCCAAATTGCATCTGATCAACGAATGAATGTGAACACATGCCATAACTCTGTCCTATATTCACATATTCAGACGTTGGATATTTAAAGGTCCTGTGAAATTAAAATGACGTTTTCTTATTAGATGTTATCGAAATGTTTGTTTTAGCGATACGTATTAGCTGGCGTGCTCCAAAACACTGACAAAATTCGCGTTTAGAAGATATAAACATTCAAAGCATGCAGGTTGTCACTTCCGCTTTTTAAAAAAAAACCATGATAATTAATGGTTATAGGACTTTTATCATGAAAACAACTTCCGGACCATCATCGCCCCCCTTTAGATTTCTTTTTTTTTTAATTTTTATTATTATTATTATTATTATTATTATTATTATTATTGAACAACAAATATACAATTTAAACATGACATCCAAAAAATACAAAAGTAACTAATAACATAATCTAAAAAATAAACTACATTAATTAAACAAATAAAAAGACAATTCAACATAGACATCTTTACAATGATAATATTTTAACTTAACCAATTGACAGTAAGAATACTAACCTTTAAAATTAATTAACTTCAGCTTCTTTGTCACAATAATTGTATTTATAAATTTTTTCGCTCTTAATATATTGGAGCGATTCTATATACAAACGAAAATCTGTAATAGCAACATTTAAACAAGGTTTGGAGTTATTTAACCTGCATTTATGAACATGAAATTTACAGAACAAAATTAAATGATTCAATAAAAATTCCACAGAAAAATAGTTTGAAACAAAATAAAAAATAACGTCTTTGGGGGGTCAAATTGCAACTAAAACCTGATTTTTTATTTATTTTTTTGACACAATGATAGATCTTCCCAAAATTTTTTTTTTAATATTCACAATCATAAAAAAGATGAATCAATGTCTCTGGGTGATGTAAACAGAATGAACAGTTTCCATCCGTCTGCGTTGTCACTATAAGTTTATTACAAATCTCTTCCTGAAGTTAAAAACACACGTCTTAAACTATGATGATCATTAATATACATCTTAATAGAAATGCTTTTTTTTTCACATATATCTCAAAGAGCAGTTTACAAATCCAAAATTATTCACACTCCCGGCGAAATCTGTCTTAAAGTGCACATGAAATCAAAACTAGCCATATTAATTTTGTCAGCTCGCATTGCTAGTTGTGTGGTGAACAGTTCATCTGTGCATGTCATTGTCTTGTAATCTTTAACTGAAATCAGCAAATGCACTTCCTGTTTGTTTTCAGTTAAATCCTCAGATTTGGTCTGTCTAAGGAATTGGGCGGGGCTAACATATTTAACCACGCCCCTTCAGCTGTCGATTTTGACAACAGTGATGGTGAGCAGGAGGAGTCTGTTAAGCCTAGTTCACACTACAGGATTTTAAACATCAGCAGATCGCTGTGCCGTTCACACTACATGACTTGACTTTGTGTCTTTTAATCTCTGTGGTGTTCACACTACGCAACACTCTGTGAATGATCCACAAGAGGGGGGTCACACACTAGAGGATCTGACAACAACTCATTCCCCATCAGCTCATTCAAGCTAGCAAACCACAGCCAATAAAATTTTGAGGGAGGAGTCGTCAGAAAAAGCTGAACACTATTGGCTGCTTGTGTGCTGATGACATCACTGACAGCGTTTCAAGCTTTGGAGAAAGCATTTAAAAACATCGTCAAATCAGCTGATTTATCAGCACATTAATCACTCATCTGCAGGTTCCAGTGGATAGATACACAGAGAGTTTTTAATTTTTGTAATTTTATAACTCTTTGAAATAAAACTAACATATCTATAACACCCTGCCGCTTTCTAACTATCAGTGTATTTCTTTCTGACATTGTTTTTTTTTTCAAAACAGTAAAGAACTGAGCATTTCTGCCTTAAAATACCATATTGGTCAAAATGACTGCATGCATGTCTGATACTTTTCGCTGTGACTTTAAATATGTGTGCATTTTCTTGCCTGGCAACTTCCTGCTAACATAAACAAAACTTTCTGATGGCAAAAACATCAATTTACTTCAGATATACTTCAGATATCTTTCAAAACAGCATATTCTGTGCTGTGAAATAGCTCCTGTTTGAAATTGTTTATTATCTTAACTACATATTTATAGGCTGTATTACCAAAAAAAGATGATATTTTTAGGGTAATGGTGTCATTAAATATGATGCCAGACATTCAAAGCTTAATTTTAATATCTCAATAACAACTTTGAATGTAAATATGTTGTGACAATATGGCGTTTTAAATGAGAACGGTCAGAATGAGCATTGAGCAATGTTAATATATCCTCCTCTCATGTCTGTGCTAGCACAGAATGAAGCGAGTGCACCGATGCCCATTCTGACCAATCACAGATGTTTCTGCTGAGAAAGCTCATGCTGATATGCTCTCTCATTGGCTGCAGCTCGTCACTACATCAGACCACACGTGGGGTTGAGTCGGCCGACTGCTCTGGAATATTTAGCATGCTGAATGTTGGATTTCTGTCAGCGAGGTGTCGGCGACGCGTCAGCGAGCCTCGTTGATGCGTTGTTCAGTAGTTCACACATAAAGAGCGGCGAGCGCCGAGCACCCGCAGATTTCTTCCCGATCACAGCCCGATCTGTCGGCGAGCTCGTTAACTTCCAAATCGGGCTTAAAATCCTCTAGTGTGAACTAGGCATTAGGTTGTTATAACTCTCCCCAAACACTTTTCCCAGCCCTTCAGAAAGAAACGCCTACTTTACTACGTCCAATCAGCTCACAATAGATAAAACAAGCCACACCCACTGTTTACTCATTTAATATTTCGTTTCTCTACGGCACAAAAAAGCTTTTACTAGAAACACAGGATTCTCCTAAAATATAATAAGATGATGTATAATTTTTCTTCTAGAAAAACTCTTATTTGTTTTATATGGGCTAGAATAAAAGCCTTTAAATGTCTCTTTAAGCTGTATAGAAGTGTCTTGAAGAATATCTAGTCTAATATTATTTACTGTCATCATGACAGATAAAATAAATCAGTTATTAGAGATGAGTTATTAAAACTATTATGTTTAGAAATGTGTGGAAGAAATCTGCTCTCCGTTAAACAGAAATTAGGGGAAAAAATAAACAAAGGGGGCGAATAATTCTGACTTAATCTGCATCTATAGTATCTGTATTTAATAGGTTGTTAAAGCTTGATCTCTCTCTCTCTCTCTCTCCTTTGCAGATCTGTCCATCCGCTGGTGAATTATGGTGAGTGTGTGTTTCTCTGCTGGTTTCCTCTGATTATGTAAGGAGGAATGTTTAACGTGTGGTGGTTTGAGGAATCATGTGTGTGTTTGATGGTCAGCACGGCCGTGTGAAGGTGAAGACGACAGCGCAGCAGGAGGAGGAGAAGAGGAAGGAGAGAGAGAAGAAGCTGAAGGCCTTTGTGTGCGCGCGCGACTCTGTGCTGAAGAAGGTCAGAGCTGTGCGTGCTTGAGTGTGTGTGTGTGTGTGTGTGTGGTCAGTGGTGTTTGAGCTGATGATGAAGCCTGTGTGTTTTAGAGGAGCGCTGGAGAACATGACGAGGAGGCTCTTGATCTCACACAGCAGCTTCTGTCCTCAAACCCAGACTTCGCCACACTCTGGAACTACAGGAGAGAAGTGCTGCTGCATCTGGAGACGCTGCGGTAACACACACACACACACACACACAGTCCTGCTGAACACACACCACATATTAATGTGTGTGTGTGTGTGTGTTTATCTTATAGCCAGGGCCTTTGTTTTATCTCAGAAACACCGCCAAGTACCCTCAACCGCATTCAGAGAAAGAAAATAAAGGTCCAGCCAATCACAGGAGCAGAATCCAGAACTAAATATCAGAGTAAATAGACAAGACCCACAGATACAGATGCTTCCAGTGTACATAAAGTGACAACACAAAATAAATATGGAAAACAGAAATACGATAAACGTTAAAGGGTCACGAAACACCAAAGCACATGTTTTGAGCTGTTGACAGTGGCATATGTGTCCCACACTGCTAAAAACACTATTAGGACACCTATATTTCACTAAAAAGTGTAAATTGGTTGTTTTTGCGTTATTTCAAGCAAATTCCTACTTCCGGTTTGAAACGAATTTTTGAAGCTGCGTCACGGTCATGACATAATAGCATGTATTCCAGCGTGCAGACTGAGCGTCTGTGCCAGAGTGTGTCTTATTACGTCTTACAGTGTGATGCATTAATGCATGAGTAAGGCTTCGTTCAAACCAATCAGCGCGCTCTATTGTGCAACTTCATTAATATTCATTACTGTCACAGTGTTTAGACGACAGAGACGCCACGTTGTGTTGGCAAAACAAGCGTGAAGTGTTGCTTTTATAGTTTGCTGCCGTTAAGTTTTGTTTTCATTTTCTCTCTGTGAGAGCTCAGCTGGAGCTCAGACTCACGTGTGGATTAACAGTGTACGCGACGCTCGACAACAATAACTTACGTGTCTAAGGAGGATTATTGTTTACCTGAGAGCTGTTCTCATCTGCAAACGCTGAGATCCGGATTCGCTTGTAGTCTCCTCTTAATAAAGACGCGGCTCTAGTTGCTGGTGATTGTCCTGTCTCTACAGATTTGGTAAGTGAGCGACCAGTGCTCTTTGTTTATTCAGTTTGTTCGTATCGAACTAAGTTAACTATAGCACCGAGTGTAAACATGTTAGCATCACAACCAAACTTTAACCTTGTGTAGGGTTTTTACCGCATTTAGTGACCGGAATAACACACGCGGCTTTCTGACACTACCTGCCGTGTGCATCTAAGTTTCCGGGAAATGCGGAGGGTTTTTTTCTCTCATTCGCCGTGCGGTATCAAACATTGCATGAAAAATACACGCTTAGAGCAGCTCCTCGAATCAAATATCACATTTGTCGCGAGGGACATGAATGAATTCCCTGAATGAAAGAGCCAAACTGCAGTTAAAGTCCACCATTTAATAATTTGGCAAATAATTCCACTACAGATGTCCATGTAGGTTAAACACCATCACTTTCTCCTGTGTGTGAGTATTTTGACTGAAACTCGCGCGCGCCCAAATAGACACTCCCACACCATCCCACTTTAGTTCCTCCGACACTCCCCCCTAAACAAAGCTGGACACGCCCACTTTTCTGACTTTTTCCAAAGTAGAGGTGTGAAAACACCCTGCTGAAACGAGGGGGTTTCATGTCCCTTTAAACGGAGATGCAGTTAGTCAAGAAAGTCTGGATGTTGAGTTGTATGTACAGATTTGTTATAAATATACAGGTTATACGCTGATGTGTACAAATGCAAATGTTGAAAGTATTGCATTGTATATTGATGTAAGGTGCTGTGTGCGTGTGATAAGTATTGCACATATTTATTGCGCAGTTGGGGGGATATTTAACTGTTCTTGAGGTAGATGGCCTGAGGAAAGAAACTTTTCCTGCGTCTTGCTGTTTTTGTGCTTGGTGACCTGAAGCGCCAACCACACGGTAACGGTTTGAACAAGTAGTGTGCAGGGTGCGAGGCATCCAGAGTGATTTTGCGAGTCCTTTTCATCACTCTAGAAGAGTAGAGTTCTTGAAGTGTGGGGTAGTGGCAGTGATACGTTCAGCAGTTCGTACTATTGGCTGAAGGCTCTGTTGAAGTTTGAGGGGGTAAGATCACGCCGGAGTGTGATTGGCTGATAGGCATGAGATATTCCGCCAGTATCAGCACTCTTTCAGACTATTTGTGTGTATCCCTCCACCCGCAACGAGTGCATTTAAAAAAAAAAATTCCTAAATGATGTTTAACAGATTCAGGAATTTTTCTCAGTATTTCCTATAATATTGTTTCTTCTGTAGAAAGTCTTTGTTTTATATCGACTAGAAGAAAAGCAGTTTTTAATTGTTTTAATCCCATTTTAAGCTCAATATTATTAGCCCCCTTAATCAATATTTGTGTTGTATTGTCTACAGAACAAACCACTGTTATACAATGACTTGCCTAATTACCCTAACTGAATTTCTTTCCATTTTATACGGTTCCTTATACAGCATCAATGTTGTAATGTCATTAAAATACATTCAGTTAATAAACTTTAGCATTTATTTAGTTGCTCAAGTGTAAAACGAGACAAAAAGCTGTTTACTCGCACTCGCCCGTCAGAATCGGCAGGCTAACGCAGAAGCTCCATTGAATATACTGGGGTAAAATAAATGCTCATATTATAAAGACATGGCGGGGGAAATGTAATTTAATGCAGTGCTTCTTGTACAATCTGAGACCCACTTTAAATCGGATATCACTCAGCCAGTGGAGATCGCTGAAAGAAAACAGACCTTAAACGCACCGGATTTTGCACTGGCATTCAATTCGCCGGAAGCGATTAACCCTGGCAAATTAAAAGTCCTATTAGCATGCTTCGGCATATACCCCATTGGGGGAAAACATAAAGGAGGGCTAAACATTCATGAGGGAACTGCACATTTGAGGTTTTATTATTGATTTTATTTCAGCTGAGATAAATATCTGTCTGTCGTCCTCTAGAGAGAAGGATGAGGTGCAGAAGCTGTACGAGTCTGAACTGCACTTCATTGAGGCCTGTCTGAAAGTCAACCCCAAATCTTACGGCTGTTGGCACCACCGCAGCTGGGTGAACACTCGTCTCCCGCAGCCCGACTGGACACGCGAGCTGGGCCTCTGCGACCGCTGCCTCAGCCTGGACGAACGCAACTGTAAGACTCTCATACACAGAGTTTCTGCAGGTTTCACCAACTCAGAAGACTTTTTGATGCCGTTATGAATGAATTTACAGAATTATGCTGGGCGAACTGCTAAAGCACTGCTGTCAAACTCTGAGCTCTGCACAGTTTAGTTCTGACACTAGTTAAACACACCTGATCAAACTAATTGAGTCCTTCAGGCTTGTCTGAGACCTACAGGTAAGTGGGTTGAAGCAGTGTTGGAACTAGGGATTGTTGTAAAAAAAAAAATAAATGAGATGAAAAAAGAAGAGAGAACCCAGTCCAGGAGACTCTAAACAAGCAGAATTCCTTTATTGAGACGTGTTGGTTAATCTGCAGTCATACAGCGTCTTTAAGATGTGTCTGCAAGAGCCTACTAGAGGTCCGCAGTCTGCAAGTTCTTTTACAAGTCTCACACAAGTCTGCATTAGTCTGAATTAAGACAAAGATTTCATGGCTATATTGTGTTCTTAGGAGGAGGGGATATAGCTAAACAAAGTATGCAAATTAAGGGTTGTGGTCGGCAGGGTAAACTGCTTCTCAGGTCTAATCTCATCATGTTCTGGAGACAGAAACCGCCTGACCATTTGATCGAAAAGAGAAAACAATAGACACCCCATGCTGTGAAACTGACAATTTGCATTACTTTGGCTTAGCCTGTGATCAGAAAGACAAAAGGTAATGTCCCTCCTAGCTGGAATGTTAATGAAATAATATAATTAAAAACCAGGGAATATAACTTTTTAGTTATACGTAGATTATTGTTAATTTGAAATTAGATGATATAAATTTATATTTCCACAGGATGCACCAATACCAGTTTGCGTATGGGGTCGATACTAGGTTAAAATACTCGTACTCTTATCGTACATGAAAGGCCGATACCACGCACCGATACCACTCAACAGTAAATCACTACTTGGATGTGATTTGTTGTCCCACCTGACTTCTATGTTAATGTATTAATTAATGTATTATAAATTAATAGCTTAGTCCTTATAAACCTTTTACTCTGGAGGGACGACTGCGCTGGCTGATTGTATCCCTGCTTTAGACAAACTATACATTACGAAAATGAAGCGCGGCCGCGGCTGGAAAACAGTGTTTAATGTATCGCTCGTCACTTCAGGAGGAGGCGTGAATTAATTTAGCTAAACTGCGACATGCTCATCGTGCGGAAATATTACCAACGATCCATCAGGTAATGTTTTCCTCTCTGTCTCTCTCTCTCTCTCTTGGTAAAGCGCTGTCAGCAAATATTTTCCTCCATATCCAATAATGCACAGCGCATCGGCCTACGGCAGCTGAATTAGTCCAAAACGCGCAGTACTTTTTGCGGTTGGACCTGTTTTGGTACGGATCATATTCTCACCACAAACGAACCGCTCCAGGGTTCGTTTGAAAGCGTACCGAGACCACCTCTTCAAGCAGGTCTCGGTACGCTTATTTGGTCCGCTTTTGGTGCGCACTCGAGTACGATTGCTGCATTCTCACCTGCCCAAACGAACCGTACCAAAAGGGGACATGAACTCTTGTGCGATTCAATTAAACTAAATAAGGCAAGTGTGAAAGCACCCTTAGTTACCATTTGACAATGGAAATGGCCTTAAAAGCGTACTAAACTGTACCGTACCACACCACTCCGTGGAAACGGGCCATTAAGATCCTGCAGATGTCGTAAATTCGACGTCTTATCAATTAGAAATTATCAGACCAGAGGTTTTGAATATCAGAAAATAGACTTTATTCTCCATAATAAAGCCGAGAAAGAGCAGAGCAGACCCCAGAGTCTCTCCTGGACACCTTCTGAAATATCTATGTTTGTTACAATTTTTATAGAGGATTATTTGACACACCCCTAAGTCTCTTTTTAACTCTTGACCATTTTTGAATAGGTTTTCTAGTCTAAGGGGTCCTGCTATTCTTGGCTCTCCGCCCACTAGCTCATGTCAGCAGAGATGTTACAGGTCTATGTCAGCAAAGTATAGATGCAACTTATGCAAAGGAACTAAGTGTTTACATACATTGTTATGATAGGATAATAACTTGATAATATGTTACTCATTCTAACTTCTGACACATATAGCTTCATACAAGTATTTAACATATATGATCAGTGCTTTACATATTCAGTTATTCTACACAATCAGTCACTCAGCCTTCTCCTAGTGTTGCACCTGTGCAGGCGTACTCATCTTACACAGACACATCACTGTATTTTTAACACAGGCTGGCATGTTTGCTGCAAACACTACATACATTTTGTGAAGAGAAAATTAACTGCTTTACACTTAGAAAATACTTCATACAGAGAGAATAAAATCTTCTTCACAGACAGTGATCAAGAAACAACTCTTTTGCTGTTCAGGCTTTCACATTGGTGTGTCTCTGTGTCTTCCCTCAGTCCACTGCTGGGATTACCGCCGGTTGGTGGTGAAGGAGTCTGGCGTTTCCGTGGAGCAGGAGCTGCAGTTCACCGACCGTCTGATTGGCTCCAATTTCTCCAACTACTCCAGCTGGCATTACAGGAGCACACTGTTACCTCAGCTCCGCCCACAGCCGGTGCTGGACTCCGCCCACAACACAAGCCCCTCCCCCTCCGCCTCGCCTCAGAGTCACTCGCACAGAGTCTGCGAGGAGCAGCTGCTGAAAGGTGAAGCATTCACAATATGCACTCAAATAAAAGCTCTTAAATAAACACATAGCATAGCCCTGTGTGACAACTGGCCCGACAGTGGAAATGTAAAAAAAAATTTATTGTGTGTTTTGACTTCACTAGAGTATGAGCTGGCCCATAATGCCTTCTTCACTGACCCCAATGACCAGAGCGCTTGGTTCTACTACCGCTGGCTGCTGGGCAGAGGTGTGTGTCTCTCTTGGTGTGTGCGTGCGTGAATATGGGTGTGTGCGTATGTGTGTGTTTGTGTGTGTGCCTGTCTGTGTATATATATCCATATATATATATATGTGTGTCTCTGTGTGTGCGTGTGTGTGTGTGTGTGTTTTGACCTGCATATTTGACAAAACATGTATTCTCACTGTGTGTGTGTGTGTGTGTGTGTGTGTGTTTTGGCCTGCATATTTGACAAAACTTGTATTCTGTGTGTGTGTGTGTGTGTGTGTGTATGTGTGTGTGTGTGTCTCCGTGTTTGTGTGTGTGTCTCTGTGTGTGTGTGTCTCTGTGTGCGTGTGTCTCCGTGTGTGTGTGTGTGTGTGTGTGTTTTGGCCTGCATATTTGACAAAACTTGTATTCTCACTGTGTGTGTGTGTGTGTGTGTTTATGTGTGTCTTCGTGTGTGTGTCTCCGTGTGTGTGTGTGTGTGTGTGTTTGTTTTGGCCTGCATATTTGACAAAATATGTATTCTCACTGTGTGTGTGTGTGTGTGTGTGTGTGTGTGTGTGTGTGTGTGTGTGTGTGTGTGTGTGTGTGTGTGTGTGTGTGTGTGTGTGTGTGTGTGTGTGTTTGTGTGTGTGTCTCCGTGTGTGTGTGTTTTGGCCTGCATATTTGACAAAACATGTATTCTCACTGTGTGTGTGTGCGTGTGTGCGTGTGTGTGCGTGTGTGCGCGTGTGTGCGTGTGTGTGCGTGTGTGTGTGTGTGTGTGTGTGTGTGTGTGTGTGTGTGTGTGTGTGTAGCGGAGAGAGAGGAGATGATCAGCTGTGTGTACGTCAGCAGGGAGGGTGAGAGAGTTTCCGTCGCCTTCTCCAAACCTGTTCACGTAAGTCACCGACAGAACCCCACATGTAGTATATGAGTGTGAATGAGAGTGTATGGGTGTTTCCCAGTGACAGGTTGCAGCTGGAAGGGCATCCTCTGAGTTAAACATATGCTGGATAAGTTGGCAGTTCATTCCACTGTGGCAACCCCAGGTTAAAAAGGGACTAAGCAGAAAAGAAAATGAATGAATGATTATACAGTGAAACTGGTGTAGTCAGGGTGAGGAGAGAGACGTTAGAAACTGCACTGCCATCCCATCTGAGGAGCTTGTGTCCGCAAGTTTGTTCTCAGCAGTCGAAGTCTGATATTCCAAGAACGCTAGTCTGAACTCTGCGCGCTTAGCATTGAGAACGCATTCATTCAGGAAGGAGGGAAACAACAGAGTGTTCCGGTGAGGTCCACAAATGCCTGCTGTGTTTGTTTTTGTTTTCTTTTACAAACCAGGGGTCCATTTTTTGTACTTTAAAATGATCTAAGATGATTTCATCTTGATAGCTGATCTCTGGCTAATTTGGTTCTTCAAACTAGTCCGTGAATCAAATTAAAATGGATGAACATTCCAGACAATTTAATAATAACTTACACCTTATTTTGGGCTGCATGCTTGGCCCTTTCATGTGTCAAGAGCAATTTATTTAGTTTTACATTTAGAGCAGATTTTCCTTATTAGAGTAGTATTATTGAAGTTGGTTTTTTTTAATCGTTGTAAAGAATAACTGGATGTTTACAAAAACAATTTGATATTGGTAAAGCCGTCTGCAACTTTTATGAAGCATCAAATCACCGTCATATTAACTGTCAAAATATGTTCATGACTGCATAAATGTATTATTGCTTTTAAAAAAGTCACATATTGTGCATTTCTATTATCATACACAAATTGTACTAAAGCGATCTACAAAGTTCGTATCTATAACAATAACACTTTTATTTTATTAATAATTATAACTTCATAAAGATATAGTAAAAAAATATTTACTATTTTCCCAAGTGTATAAAACTACTACTGTAAGAAAATATCAGAATTCGGCACATACTTTCTGTATTATCTTTGCTTGAACTGACCGGATCTAATCCTGTTTATATGAATTAAACCTGCTCCCGACCAGGTTTGAGCTACCAGAACTGTTGCTATGACAACAACTCTCGAATTAGTTTTGAAGAACGAAACGATCCTGGATCGTGTCAAATCGTCAATATCCAAATCCAGCTAACTGAGTAATCCACGTACGAAGAACTGACCCCTGGTGAGATCATAATGTCAGCTTTTACATCACACACACACACACACACACACACACCTTAATCCATGATGACAATAAAAAAAGAATAATTTGTCAAGGATATACACAATAAGCTTTTAAAAACAAAACTTATATCCATTGTGGTCATTAATGTGAACCACAGATTACACTACTCCGGTAACAGGTACACTGCAATATAAAACTAAACACAAATAACCATTAAACATACTAACTCCACAAAGAGCCGGGACTGAAACCACTGATCTTATTACTGTGAGGCTACAGTGCTGCGCCACCGTGCCGCCCCCAAACATTAAAAAATAACTTATTTTATCCAAGGTTAAAGTCAGAATCTTACAAGGGCCCATGCCTGATTAAGCAGCTGTCTATAAACATGACAAACCAACAATCAAAGATCACAGATTTAACCTTGGGTTTCTTAAATGCGTCTTGGGTGACTAAAGGCTGATTTATACTTCTGCGTCAAATGCTGGCGTATGCTACGGCGCTGACGCATAGCCCTTCGCCGTGGCCGTCGCCGTCACTGACGTGCACCTCTCAAAAAATGTAACTACACGTTGCAACAACGCGTAGCGCAAGCTCTGTGATTGGTCGGCTGACGAGTCTGGGCGGGACCGAGAGCCGCGCGAATGGCGCGAACCCAGTGTAGCGATTGTTTACAAGTGTGGAGTCCCGTGAAGGAGCTCCGGATGGAAAGTTTTGTTCTGTGTTTACCTCATAGTTAAAGTTGCTGCACGTCTGCCGGTTCCTGCCTCAAAATGAGCGAGTTTGAGCTTTGACTTGTACATCCCGGAAGTGTTCAGGAAAAGCAAAACAACAGCGAAGAAACTCGACACAGAGGAACATTTACACCTCACTGCCAACTAGCGTTTCAGAAGTGTTAATGCAGACCAACAGAGACAGCAGCAGAAGTATAAATGCACAGCCATGCGTGTGCATGCGCCGTGGGTTACGCCGGTCACTTGACGCAGAAGTATAAATCAGGCTTAAATCGTGGCTAAAATCCCACAGTGTGAGCAGGGCTTAGGAAAAGCATTTTGAGCAGTGCGCCTCTGCTGTTTTTCTACATCACGTGCAAGCGTCTGTGTGTGTTTGTTTCATAGGCCGGGTCAGTGGGTCTGATGTTGGTTCTGGACGGTCAGCCTCAACAGGTGCAGTGGAGAAATGCACATCCCCGTCTGCGCCACAGTCCTGTCTGGGTATCCTTCACTTCAGCAGCTTCATCTTAAATGAAATACAGTACAAAGTTCTGATGGCAAACACTCTGCACGCGCAGGTCACACCTAATCTTTGTCATGATGACAGTAAATAATATTAGACTAGATATTCTTCAAGACACTTCTATACAGCTTAAAGTGACATTAAAGGCTTAAATAGGTTAGTTAGGGTAATTAGGCAAGTCATTGTATAACAGTGGTTTGTTCTGGAGACAATCCAACACTAATATTGCTAAAGGGGGCTAATAATATTGATGTTAAAATGGCTGTAAAACAATTAAAAACTGCTTTTATTCTAGCTGAAATACAACAAATTAGACTTTCTCCAGAAGAAATGATATTATAGGAAATACTGTAAAAAAATCTGAATTTGTTAAACAGTAGTTGCAGTTTTGCTGTAGTTTTATTTATTCACACTCGTACAGATCTTTAACGGTGTCTGTCAGCTGTGTGATCTTCCTGCCGGCTCCATCAGTGACACCAGTAATGAACACAACCTGACCATTCACTGGACAGACAAACACACACACAGAGACTGTGCTCTCTACACGGGTGAGACACACACACACACACACACACACACAAACAGACACGCTTACATACATACACACACACACACACTTCTAACCAATAGAGAGTGTGTGTGAGTTGTGTGTCTTGTTTTCAGGCTGTGCTGAAAGCTGGTGTAGAGACTCCGCCACTGATCAGGAGCTGTTCAGGTACTGCGGTAAAACTCAACTATTACTCTATATAAAGTGTTTATCTCTGTCATCTGAAGGTGAAGCGCTCTCCTTTTTAGATTGAGAAAGTGTGTGTGTGTGTGTTGTGTGTGTGTTGTGTGTGTGTGTGTGTGTGTGTGTGTGTGTGTGTGTGTGTGTGTGTGTGTGTGTGTGTGTGTGTGTGTGTGTGTGTGTGTGTGTGTGTGACAAACAGTTCACTGTTTCCACTCAATCATTCCATACAGTCCAAAGACATGCTGTACAGGTGAATGAGTATGTGTGGATGTTTCCCAGAGATGGGTTGCGGCTGGAAGGGCATCTGCTGCGTAAAAATGGATAAGTTGGCGGTTCATTCCACTGTGGCGACCTCGGATTAATAAAGGGACTAAGACAAAAAGAAAATGAATTAATGTGTATATATATATATATATATATATATCAATCTCTCTCTCTCTCTCTCTCTCGTTCTCTCTCTCTCTCTCTCTCTCTCTATATATATATATATATATATATATATATATATATATATCCCTGCTGAAAAATCCAGATTTTAGCTGGTCAACCAGGCTGGTTTTAGAGGGGTTTTGGCCACTTCCAGGCTGGTTTACAGCCATTTCCAGCCTGGTCTTAGCTGGTAAGGCTGGGAGATGACCAGCTAAAACCAGCTTGACCAGCTTAAACCAGGCTGATCAAGTTGGTTTTAGCTGGATTTTGCTGGTCATTTTCAAGCCTGACCAGCTAAAACCAGCCAACCAGCTGATATATATATATATACACATGTGTGTGATCAATAATTAAATTTAAAAGTAGTGAGTAGTAGGCTTCGAAGCATGTATCAAAAAAACGATACATCTCGCAGTGAAGCAGTTTACCGGAGCTTGATTTGTTATGCCATCATCACGTGATCAGTGACGTCCGAAGCTTCATTTTCGCCTATACCCACGTGACTGCTTCGAATTTTGATTCAAAGGTTTAAACACCCTCATAGTAAAGTGTATAGCGAGAGAATTGGCGTCTATTACATACATTTGTTTCAAAGCACTGCACCAGTCCCACACACCAGTAATTAAACTAAACTACAATAGTATTTTTTAGTAAAAAGGTTTTGAACAATACTAAAGTGTATTAGCGTATTTTTTTACAACTATCTTTAAAGAAAACCACCGCATACCGTAGTATTGTGTTTAACAGAGACCATCTGGTGAGTGCAGTTCTGAGGCATCATTCACATAGCCTCCTCCTAGAGCACTCGCCACTCAATCAAGAATCGCTAGTTCGATCCTCGCTTGGAGCGGGACTATTTGTATTATGATAAACTTTTGAATACCTTGGATTTTACTACAATCATCAGTTGTGTAATGTAATATATCTTATGTAAAAACTACAGTAATTGAGTAATTGTTTATATTGCTGTTGTTGTATTACTACATGAATGAGTTGGTCAGTTGTGAACATTTGACATTATGGCAACACAGTGCTTTCCCACACTTTCACCAGAAGAGGTCCTCATCGAGCTCTGATTTAGAAAGCTTCGAGTAACGAACCTTTTTCCGATACAATTGAGTCGAGTTCTTCACTGGTTCAGAAAGCTTCATTTCACCATCACTATTTAAAAGTCCCAAAATATGTATATTAGAAAGCTACCTATTTAAATAAAGACATTTCTAAATAATATCTAAATGTTTTGGTCTGAATGGTTTTAAAAAGAAAGAACTCATAAAGTCTTTGTGAACTGGAAGTTGCTGCAGACTTTTATGTCAGTATGATGACATCTATCCATGAAGCAGAATATTGAGTAGTGGGCGGGGCTTTATCTTTAAGCTCCTCCTTGCGTCTTTCACTCTAACTAACAGCTGGAGGTGCATAGCCAGTTGGGGCTCCCAGAGTTACTTTTTTTATTCACAGTTGACGCGCTCAACCAGTTTGTAGTTGTAATTTGATCACTGAAGCTGCAGTGAGTGTTTAGTTTTAGCACTGACAGCAGACGTCAGTGAAATAGCTGAGCTGAGGAATCACAGCTCTGGGTAAACATCGTCTGGCTGCTTTGAGTCCCGCCCACAGCCTGTCAATCACTGCGCAGGATTCCAGTTTGCTCACATTCGTTTATTGGGTGTGTTTCAGTCACTGCTATCAAATGTTATAATCTCACCTGTGTGTGTGTGCTTGTTTGTGTTGCCCTGTATGGTGTGTGTATATCAATATCTGTGTTTGTTTGTGTGTGTATATATGCATGTGTCTGTTTTGTGTCTATCTGTGTGTGTGTTTCTCTGTATTTGTGTGCGTGTCTGTGTGTGTGTCTGTCTGATTGTTTCTCTATAGTGTGTGTGTATCAATATGTGTGTTTCTGTGTTTATATGTGCGTGTATATGTCTCTCTCAAATGTTTCTGTGTGCGTGCAGGAGTGAGCTGTCAGTAGAGAAGAGTTCAGTTCTTCAGGCTGAGCTTCAGTCCTGCAATCAGCTGCTGGATCTCGAACCTCAGAACAAATGTAAGTGTGTGTGTGTGTGTGTTGTGCATGCATACTTCACATAGCATTTGTGTCTTTGCAGCCAAACAAGAGTAAGTATTGTGACTGTGTGTGTGTGTGTGTGTTTTAAGGGTGTCTGCTGACCATCATCCTCCTGATGAGAGCTCTGGATCCTCTGGGCCATGAGAAAGAGACTCTGACCCATTTTCAAACCCTTAAAGTAAGACCACGAGAGCCTCGACACTGACCAATTACTATTGACTAATGCCCAAATATGTTCAATACCTCCTTTTTAATCTAAAACCAACAAAGGCTGCATCTAAAATCACCCACTCCTCGAGTAGGCACTACATTTTAGTGAATTCACTACTCATCCATCAGAAAAGTACATTCTGTATACAGTAGTATGAATGAGAGTAGTATGGATGGAATTCAGACGTACTACATCCGCCATTAGTCATTATCACGTGACCTACCCATGTCAGTTGCTTCATTCCCATTCATGAATTCTCTTGCATACTGTTTTAACATACTATATAGTTTGAAAGTGTGCAATGTTGGATGCGGTCGCTTTGTTTATACATTAATAACAACTGGAAAATGGAAAATAATCTACATACAAAAACAAACTTCATGAAAATAGCCCATAATGTTGGTAAAAGAAACCTCTTTAAATTCTCCAACCGGTGGGATCAGATTGTTTTTTTCCCCCAGTAGAATCGCTCACTCCGTGATTAGCCACTAGTTTTTAGTACTTAGTAAAAGTCCTTCCACACCCTTTATTTGTAAAAGCACTACATCAAGCATGTTTTATTTGATTGTGTTGGCTTTAAATCTGCTGAATGAAGGAATGATCCAACAAATGAACGAACGAACCCACATACATGGGAAAGCGAATGATTGGATGTTATTATTGATGATGCTATTACTATTTTGTGTAGAATGTAATTGAAATAGTTGAAATTGATTATAGTTGAATTTTATGTAGTTAAACTAGTTGAAATTGATATAGTAGAAATTTAAATAGTTGAAATTGATGTAGTTGAAATGGTTGAAAACTGATATAGTTGAAATTGATGTAGTTAAAACTATTTAGAGCTGAAATTGATAGTTGGAATTGGTATAGTTGGATTTTATCTAGTTGAATTAGTTGACATTGAAATAGTAGAAATTGATATAGTTGAAATTGATATAGTTAAAATAGTTAAAATTAATATTGTTGAAATAATTGAAATTGATATAGTTGAAATTGAAATAGTTGACTTTTTTGTAGTTAAAATAGTTGAAATTTATATAGTTGAATTTTATGTAGTTGAACTAGTTGAAGTTTATATAGTAGAAATTGATGTAGTTGGAATTGAAATAGTTGAAATAATGAAAATTGAAATTGGTGAAATAATGAAAGTTGAAATAGTTTAAATTGATATAGTTGAAATTGATGTAGTTGGAATAGTTGAAATTGAAATAGTTGAAATAATGAAAATTGATATAGTTGAAATAGTTAAAATTGATATAGTTGAAATTGAAATAGATGAAATTGAAATAGTTGAAATTGAAATAGTTGAAATAATGAAAATTGATATTGTTGAAATAGTTGAAACTTATATAGTTGAAATTGATATAGTTGAAATAATTAAAATTGATATAGTTGAAATTTGATAGAGTTGAAATTAAAATATTTGAAATTGATATTGTTGAAATTTGTATAGTTGAATTTTATGTAGTTGAATTAGTTGAAATTGAAATAGTGGAAAATGATATAGATAAAATTTATATAATTAAATTAGTTGAAATAGTTGAAATGATAAAGTTGAATTGGTATGAATTTTATGTAGTTGAATTGGTTAAAATTAATTTAGTTAAAATAATTAAAATTGATATAGTTTAAATATTTGAATTTAATATAGTTGAAATTAAAATAGTTGAAATTGATCTTGTTAAAGTAGTTAAATTGACGTAGTTAAAATTGATATAGTTGAAATTTGATAGAGTTGAAATTAAAATAGTTGAAATTGATATAGTTGAAATTGGTATAGTTGAATTTTATGTAGTTGAATTAGTTGAAATTGAAATAGTGGAAAATGATATAGTTGAAATTGATATAATTAAATTAGTTGAATTTGAAATAGTTGAAATTATAGAGTTGAAATTGGTATAGGTGTACTTTATGTAGTTGAATTGGTTAAAATTTTTAATATAGTTGAAATTGAAATAGTTGAAATTGATCTAGTTAAAGTAGTTAAATTGGCATAGTTGCAATATAGTTGATTTTAATATAGTTGATAAAGTATAGTACAGTATAGCACAGTAAACTATGATTCTGTCAGCCCAAGATTAGTGTTCTGGAAGGAAGTGTAATGGCTTCTGAGTGTCAGGAATTTGACTGATACTACAGTAATGAATTACATTTTGGATTTGAACAGTAATTGTTGAGTGTTTGCTCAAATCAGCAACTCTTCACTGTATTATGATGATGTTTTCAAAACGTCCTGTTATTTGTTTCGTCTGACAGGAAGTGGATGCGATGCGCTCCTCCTACTACAGTGACCTGTGCAGTAAGTTTTTGATTGAAAACACCATCCTGAAAATGGAGTATGCAGAGGTGCGCGTCTTCAGCCTCTCCAATAAGGTGAGAAAGGCAAACCCGCTGAAATTGATATAGTTGAAATATAGTTGATATAGTTGAAATTTATATAGCTGAAGTAGTTAAAATTTGTATTGTTGCAAATTATACAGTTGTTGAAAATTGTATAGTTGAAATTTGTATACTTATAATAGTTAAAATCTACATAGTTAAAATTTTTAGTTGCTATTGATATAGTTGAGGTAGTTGAAATTTATGTAGTTGAAATATAAAAAAATTCTTAGTTGAAATGTATATAGTTGAAATCAACATAGTTAAAATAGTTGAAATTGAAACAGTTGAAATAGATTAATTTGGTATTGTTGAAATAAATATAGTTAAAATAGTTGAAATTTAAATAGTTTAAGTAGTTTAAATTAATATAGTTGAAATTAATATAGTTGATATTGATAGTTGAAATAGATGAAATTAATATTAGTCGAAATAGGTGAAATTTCTATAGTCGAAATAGATTAAATTTATGTAGTTGGAATAGAGGAAATTTATATAATTTAAATGTATATAGTTGAAATAGTTGAATTTGATAAAGTTGAAATAGCTAAAATTGATATAGTGTATTTGTAAAGATGTGTGCATTTACAGCTGAAGTCAGAATTATTAGCCCCTCTTTGAATTTTTTTTCTTTTTTAAATATTTCCCAAATTATGTTTAACAGAGCAAAAAGAAAAATAATAATTATATATATATATATATATATATATATATATATATATATATATAAATAATTTAATTACATTTTTTAATATATATATTTTTTCTTGCTTAGTTTTTTTATTGTGGCATAATCCATTAGAAAATCCAGTTGAAATGTAACCTTAATGTTATTTATTATTCCATAAAATACATTACAACAGTTTGTAGTTGTAATGAAAGTATTTGTTGTGGGTGTATTGCATTTAATGTTGCTGTTACTGTATATGTTTTTTTTTTCTGGGTGTGCCTTTAAAGGGTTAAGAAATAGATTTATAGATCTGCTTTAAAATCCAGAAATATCTGTGTGTCTGTTCAGAGAGCTGCTGAATCACAGCAAAAACACAGAGTTTTGACAGCATCAGTCACACCCTGATGAGTAAAATAGCAGCGTTTCACCTCACAGTCACTATCACAGGCATCACACCGAGCACTCATACATACTTCAGATATTTTCTTACATTTAATCGACAGCTCACTAATCCTCTTTCAGCATATATCAAAATGGGCGATTCTTATTTATAAAATATTGAGGAGTTCATTATATAAATAAGTAATCTGTGTGGAGGGGTTTAGCTTTTATTATTATTATTATTCATGTGCAATTGTAATCAAAATAACTTCCTCTTCATCTGTATCTCTTCTTTGATTGGTGCTTTATGGTGTGAGGGCGGGATTTGCCTGTCAATCACATGAGATCTACCAATAGCAAACTACTAATTTTTCTCTTCCCAACAATGAAAAGCAGCAACAATCAAGAATGCATGCTTATATGCTGTCATGGCTTTGCAATCAAAATTGTAATTCTAATGGTCAATGGGGCAAAAGCAGCCCCCAACATAATGAAATTTGAGTGTATTGTTGAGTTTTTGAAGATTTTCAAAGCATTCTCCCAAAATATATGCCAAACTAAAATTTTGTCAGCAAAAATCTTTCTATTTGCTGAAACACAGAGAAAACGATGGCCAAATTAACACTCAAGGTTAGCCCAGAGTGGATGAAAATGACCCAACAGCACACAAGGGTTAATACTATCGTAGTTATTTTATTGAACGTTCAAAATAAATCCTAAATTCTTGAAACAGAAGATCAGCATCTGTGTGTTGTGTTGTTTTCCTGCAACAGAAACTGACCACCTTGTGTCACCTGGATCAGCTTCTGCTGGTCACACACATCAACCTGTCGTCCAATCAGCTGCAGCATCTGCCGCCTCAGTTCAGCATGCTACAGTGTCTGGAGGTAAAGCTAATGCTCATCATGTGTGTTTTCGGCATGTTATGGACCCTTTTCACATTTATTTAAAAAAATTCACAAATATTAAAAACTTTCTAGGATTTAAGATGCTGATGATCATTAAACAGGTCGTGTGAAAAGGGTCTATTACAGTAATAGCAGCGCTGTAAACACTGACGTGTGTTTCTGCAGGTGCTGGAGGCTGATGATAACGCCATCGAAAGTCTGGAGGGTCTCTATCATCTGCCTAAGCTAGAGGAAGTTTCTCTGAAGAACAACAGTATCCTTTTCTCAAAACAAAACAAACAAATAAGAAATACAGTTAAAGTCTGAATTATTAGCCCTCCTGTTAAAGTTAAGTTCTTTTATATTTTTCCCCAATTTCTGTTTAATGGACAGAAGATTTTCTTCAACACACTTGTAAATATAATAGTTTTAATAACTCATTTCTAATAACTGATTTTTTTTCTCTTTGTCATGATGACAGCACGTAATATTTGACTAGATATTCTTTAAAGATACTAGTATTCAGCTTAAAGTGACATTTAAAGGCTTAACTATATATATATATATATATATATATATATATATATATATATATATATATATATATATATATATATATATATATATATATATATATATATTTATATATGAGCAATATCACACTCGTAGCAGTGTGATATGGCTGTATATCAGCACTGGTGGGAGGCGTGCGTTGGGAAGGCGTGCCTTAGTGCCCCCACCAGTGCCGATATACAGCCATATCGCACTGCTACTCGTGTGATATTGCGTTTATACAACAGTTTGACGGCATAATTGTGTATAAAAACAAAATCAAACATGGAGAGTCTCAAAAACTCTTTTGTATGAAGAACTACTTTCTTCCAGATTCAAATCATAAGCTGACAGTTAAACAGTTGAGCGTGCGTCTTTTAAACTTTAGAGCTTTAGTGTCTGCTTTTTGCTGGTTGTATGTGGGCGGAGTAATACACAAAGGGTAAAGAGGCTGTAGGAGTTCTGATATTGCAGAATATCGCACGGCTATCAGCCAATCAGATTGTAGAACCAGACAGAACTGTTGTATAAATATATATATATATATATATATATATATATATATATATATATATATATATATATATATATATATATATATATATACATATTGCCATTATGCTGACACACAGGCATTTGTAGCTCCACCCTCTTCTGAAAAGATTTCAACCTCATTTGAATTAAAAGCAAAAGTCACTAAAAGGACCCATTTAGGCAGAAGTCACTTTTTTTTTTTTATGTCACCTCATACTTTAGTTTTTCATCAAATCTTCTGAGCTGTGAGAAAAACCAAACACTATTGGTGTTTTTTAAAAGGGAAGGAGCTACTCTACGTCCCACCCTGTCTTCATGTTTCAGTTGAGGTTACGTTAAACACTGAATAAAAAAGCACTTCACTGGACCTCTAATGTTTTTTCTTGACCTATGTCTTAGAAATCTGCAAAGTGTCTGATCTGGAAACACTGGCGACCTGCACCAAACTGACCAGACTGGACCTGCGTGGAAACCCTGTCCACAAAACTGACGACCTGGAGTCTGAGCTCAGCCTGATCCTGCCATTGGTCACTGCCCTGTCTCTCTGATATGTGTGTGTGTGTACTTGTTTTTATCTCCCAGTGGGGACTTAAACCTGAATGCACACAGACTTATGGGGACTTGTGTCACTGCGGGCACCAGAATTGATGGGTTAACATGCTTATAGATCAGACAGAATTAAGTATTTTAAATATGTAAAGGGGCAGATTGTTTGCTGTGAGGGTTGGTTTAGGGGTACAGTTGGAGGAGGGGAGGGAATATACAGTTTGTATAGTAGAAACATCATTACATCTATGAGAGTCCCCACTGGGATATAGGAGCCAGTCTGAGTGTGTGTGTGTCTGTACTGGTTTTGGTGGTTTACAAGAACAGACATTTGTAAAATGACATGAGTAAGGCCTACTGTAGGTATTACAGCATTGATGTGGTTTATGAGGACAGGCCTTGAGTCCTTGTAAGTCAAAACCCTTAAAAATCATACTTCAGGGTCTTTTGACATTCAGATTTTGCCACAGGTTTACAGTGAGGGTTGGGTTTAGTGGTAGGGGAGGGATTATGGCATATAATAGGAGTTTTTTTTTTACTGTATAAAATGTATGGAGAGTCCCCGTAAACCATATATACTGTACTAGTGTGTGTGACATACTAACTGTACCACTTTAGAGACCCCTTAGAGCAATTTCTGAACATGTAACTCACGAGCTGGACCTAATAGGACTTAAAGGGATAGTTCACTCAAAAATGAAACCAAGATACTTTGAGGAATGTTCCTGCTGTTCTTTTCTACATACTGCAGAAAACACTAGAGAGCTACAGTGAAGAGGATTGTTGGAATTTAGAGGTATTTCACCTGAAAAAAAAAACACAAAAAAAAAACACCACAGCAGATGTTGATTTTTGAGTGAACTATCCCTTTAAAAATATTCAGCCTCTTTGTGTGTGTGTGTGTGCGTGCGTGCGTGCGTGCGTGTGTGTGTGTCAGTGTTTGTGTGTGAGACGAATAACGGTTCACATTTCAACAAAGAGCTCTGTATAAAGGCCTCACTGCATGCTGATGGAGAGAAATGTTCTGGTCACGTCTGCTGTTACTTTTAAGTTCTCAATGATCCGTTTGGCCAAAGATATTAGTGACGTTTCAGTGAAGATGCAGATATTCGGCTGTGCGTTTCTTGTATCGTATGAATCTCCATGCCAGTAAAGAAACTGTTTAATCTCCGTTTGTGTCTGTGGAGTTTCTTTGAGGACCACTAACAGTAGAGATTAGTTCATTAAGAGGTAAGATGTTTGCTGTCTGCTAGCAACAGCTGATGAAACAAGCACCCTTTGCCATTTGTGATATAAGGATCTTTATTACAATTCTCTGATTGGTCAGTTGAGATATTTCAAAGGTATGTTATTCCCAGATAACAACCGCTGAATAACACAGATTCATTCAGGGACTGAGAATCATCTTGACCATCAGTGAATATGTTTATATCCATATTTATATGCTTGTGTGTCTACTTTTACTTGTCTACACCATCTTATGACTGAATAATGCGCAGGTTAGTGTATGCTCCATTCAGCCATTTTCATTTCTGTCAGCTTTGCATTTAAGACTTGATTAATAAATGATTATGGTTCAGAACAATGTTTTGTGTTTATTTTTTTTAGGTTTTGTGGCAATAGCCCTGTAATAAACAGGATTAAACAAATCCAGGCTGTTTTTGCAGAATAAAGTCCTTTAGTCTTATACTACAGCTGCTAATGATAAACCTGTCAGACTTTATTTCTAACTTCCTGGATGCACTTCATCTGTTAATTAATACATTGAATAATGTAAGTAGAATGCATTCATCTCTCTATGGCAAAGTTTGTGGTCAAGCTGAGAAGTCATTTTGACATCATTATCCACTGAAAGCAGCGACAGGTGAAGAGTATTTGTGTAACATTTGCCACGTTTATAACTGAGATTCATATCCACTCAGGATCTAGTTGATGTGTTAATGGCAGAAACCACAGAAACAAAAGATCAAAAGAAAATCGGCACACTGCCACTTTAGCTCTTAAAGGATTTTTAATGTCACAATGTTTCGACCTACATGATCTTAGTCAGGCTCAGAAACCACAGAAAGCCAAAGCATATTAACCACACAAGCAATGAATGCTGGAGTGACATTGGGTTAAGTTATTTCCCCCCAAAAATGACTTATTGTGTTTATATATACAGCTGAAGTCAGAATTATTCACCCCCGTTTATTTTTTCCCCCCAATTTCTGTTTAACGGAGAGCAGATTTTTTTTTTTAAACACATTATTAATCATAAGTTTTAATAACTCATTTCTAATAACTGATTTATTTTACCTTTGCCATGATGACAGTAAATAATATTAGACTAGATATTCTTCAAGACACTTCTATACAGCTTAAAGTGACATTTAAAGACTTAACTATGTTAATTAGGTTAACTAGGTTAGGGTAATTAGGCAAGTTATTGTATAACGATGGTTCTTTAGACCAGGGGTCACCAATATCGATCCTTGAGGGCCGGTGTCCCTGCAGGATTTAGCTCCAACTTGCATCAACACACCTGCTTGGATGTTTCAAGTATACCTAGTAAGACCTTGATTAGCTTGTTCAGGTGTGTTTGATTAGGATTGAAGCTAAAAGCTGCAGGACACCGGCCCTCCAGGAACAAGTTTGGTGACCACTGCTTTAGACAATCGAAAAAATATATAGCTTAAAGAGGCTAATAATTTTGACCTTAAAATTGTGTTAAAAAATTAAAGACTGCTTTTATTCTAGCCGAGATCAAATAAATAAGACTTTTCTCCTGAAGAAAAAACATTATCAGACATACTGTGAAAATTTCCTGAATCTGTTAAACATCATTTGGGAAATATTTAAAAAAAGAAAAAGAAATTCAACGGGGGCTAATAATTCTGACTTAAACTGTGTATATGTTTTTTTCTTTTTCTTTAGCCAAAATAAAACAAAGACTTTCTCCTAAAGAAAAAAATATATAGTAAATACTGTGAAAAATGCATTAATCCATTAAAAATTACTTGAGAATTATTTTTTAAAAAATTAAATATTCTACAGGAAAGCTAACTTGCCCTAACCTTTGTATAAAATAATAATATTACTTTGTATAGCGTTGTATATATAATAATAATTATATATATATATATATATATATATAAAGCTCAAATCTGAAAAAAGTTGGGACAATATGGAAGATAATACAACGAACGTTATTTAATGCGTTCAATGTTATTTTTTTATTGTTTTATTTTTTCTAAATAAACATGTATTAAATTGTGGTTCCTGCAACACATTTGAAAAAAAAGTTGGACAGTACCAACTTTGTAAGGTTGCCATTCCTTTTCACAACACTTAGAAGATGTTTAGGCACTGAAGACACCAAGTGATGAAGCCTTCTGTACCTCTATACTTCTGTGATGAAGGTCAGGACTGCAGACAGGCCAGTCAAGTATCTGTATCGTCTTCCTCTGCACAGGACCATGTAATGTGTGCAGAATGTGCTTTTGCATTGTCTTGCTGAAATATGCTTGAGCATCCCTGCAAAAGAAGGCAGCATGTTGTGCTCCAAAATCTCTGTGTGCTTTCAGCATTAATGGTGCATCACAGAAGTGCAAGTTACCTTTGCCAAGGGCACTGACACAACCCCATACCATGACAGCCCCTGTCTTTTGGACTTGTTGCTGGTAACAGTCTGGGTGACCCTTTTCTTCTGTGGTCTGGAGCACACGGCGTCCATTTCTCCCCAAAAATATCTGAAAGTCTGATTCATCTGACCACAGTACACTTTTCCACTGTGTGATGGACCATTCCAGATGAACTCCGAGCCCAGAAAAGTTGATGCCGCTTCTGGACACTGTTAACATAGGGCTTCCTTTTGGCACAGTACAGTTTTCACTGGCATTTGTGTATGTAACTGTATTGTGGTACTTTACAAAGGTTTGCCGCAGTAGTCCTGAGCATATGTGGTGATCTGGCTTATAGATGAATGAGGATTCTTGATGCAGCGCCCCCTGAGGGATCAGAGATCACCATTGTTCAGCTTAAGCTTCTGCCCTTATCCTTTCCACACTGAAATTCCTCCAGATTCTATCTTTTAACAATGTTCTGCACTGTTGAAGGTGAAATATCCAAATGTCTTCCTCTCTTTCTCTGAGGAACATTGTTTCCAAACATTTCAATCTTTTTCTCACATATTTGATCTATCTATCTATCTATCTATCTATCTATCTATCTATCTATCTATCTATCTATCTATCTATCTATCTATCTATCTATCTGTCTGTCTGTCTGTCTGTCTGTCTGTCTGTCTGTCTGTCTGTCTGTCTGTCTGTCTGTCTGTCTGTCTGTCTATCTATCCATCTATCTATCTATCTAAAGTATTTCACGAATGCAGAAGTTGAGTAAATGAAAACGTGCTCCGGCTGATGATGTTTGAGCCCTGCCTGAATGTTGTCATCTCTGAAGAAGCCGTACAAACCTTCACCAAACGTGTTTGAGATTTTTTTTTTCATCATTAGTAATCGTCATTAAGTGTAATCGTTAGATAACGAGACAGCAATGGGGTGTGTTTGGACATTTCTGGACATGTTCACAGCTCTGTTTACTAAGACCATAAAACTACAACACAATAAGCGGATTATCTCTAGAAATTCACTGCTGTTAGAGCACAAATACATGATAAAAATCTATAATCTAAAATTTCTATATCTATATAAAAATCAAATAAATAAAAAAATAATAAAAAATAACAAAAATTTATATTGAGTTTCTAAACAGCTTTCAGTGCCAAATCTGCCGTATCTGTGTAATATTCAAGTAAGTTAGCAGTGCTAAATATGAATTCTTACCTTTAAACTAATTTAAATAAATTAGCTGAAAGCGTAAATGTTCATAGTGTATGTGTGTGTACTTGCTTTTGTATCCTAGTGGGGACTTAAACCTGAATACACACTGACTCATGGGGACTTGTGTCACTGGGGGGACCAGAATGGAGGTCTTTATGAGTAAACCTGCTTATACATCAGACAGAATGAAGTATTTTGTACATGTAAAAGTGCAGATTGTTTTCTGTGAGGGTTATTTTGGGAAGGGAGAGAATAATACAGTTTGTGCAGTAGAAACCTTATTATATCTATGAGAGTCCCCACCAGGATATAGGAACAAGTCTCTGTGTGTGTGTCGGTGTGAAACATCTTAAAGGATCTTATATATCCAGTTCAACCAGTTTTGTCCAACCCTGCATAAAATTGTAAAAGCTGGATATTTTCTGGAGTTCACAGCTGTATTAAATCCCGAGTGTGTCGTACTGAGCGTCATTCACACGAGACGAGAGATATTACAGCTGTTTTTAGAGCAGAGAGACGGACACTTTTACAAAGGACTTCAACCAGGTAAGGAAACTCCTTATATACCAGCAATGACCTTATTTAACTGCTGAATTATTTTGGTGGAAACTACAGTGAGAAAAGTTTAATTTAGGATAGTTTTTGATTTTCCTGCTGAAAAATCTAGCTTAAACCAGCCTAAGCTGGTTGGCTGGTTTTAGCTGGTTGACCAGCCTGGTTTTAGAAGGGTTTTGGCCATTTCCAGACTGGTCTTAGCTGGTCAGGCTGGGAGATGACCAGCCAAATCCAGCTTGATCAGCCTGGTTTAAACTGGAAATAGCTTGTTTTGGCTGGACTCCCAGCTTGGCTGATCAAGCTGGTTTTAGTTGGTCATCTCCCAGCCTGACCAGCTAAGACCAGGCTGGAAATGGCTGGAAACCAGCCTGGAAGTGGCCAAAACCCCTCTAAAACCAGGCTGGTCGACCAGCTAAAACCAGCCTGGGCTGGTTTAAGCTGGATTTTTCAGCAGGGTTGTTTTTTTGAGGTCTTTGTTAAATTAAATTAGCTGTATAAATGCTGGGTTCCACACATCTTATTGTCTCAGCACAAATTAATACGGTTAATGATAGTTTGTACAAATTTATGTGAATTGAACATAAAATAGGGCGGCACGGTGACTCAGTATTTAGCTATGTCGCCTCACAGCAAGAAGGTTGCTGGTTCGAGTCCCAGCTGGGTCAGTTGGTGTTTCTGTGTAGAGTTTGCATGTTCTCCCAGTGTTGGCTTGGGTTTCTTCCGGGTGCTCCGGTTTCTCCCACAGTCCAAACACATGTGCTATATGGGAATTAGGTGAACTAAATTCAGCCAT